AATAATTAGATCGCTATCGATATCGATCTTTTTATTTAAATCATTTTATTAAACACTATCATCGAGTCTGCTAAATGAAATGAATTTTTTGGTTGGATATTTCATTCTAATATCTAATATCTTATTATATTTATATTCTACAGAGTGTCTACAATGAAGCAATGATACGATTTTTATTTTTATTTTATTTATTATTATTTTTTTTAATTTTAAATTTAAATTTGTAGACACCCTGTATAAGAAGCGTATGTCGACTTAACATTTATGATCTTATAATCGTTATATCTCTTAAATTATCTTAACTTTAAATATAATTAATAAATTGACGTGTGTTGTATGTGTGTATTAAATAATAATTAGTATGTATTTATCCTAAGTAAATTGTCATGAATTTTGTTAAGTAATTTATGGAACAACAAAAAGAGAAACGTACAGAAAACTTTGAACATGTTAGATCTTATAGATAAGAGGTAGGGGGGGGGCGTTAATTTTTAGATAAATCGTGTGATAAATAATTATTCATTCATTATGATTAGTGTCAAAAATTTATATATATATATATATATATAAATATATTTAATATATTTATTGTTTTAGTATTAAGTATAGAATATACTATGTTAAATCCATTTGTTTTTGGTTCAATATTTCTTTGATTTTATATAAATAATTTTATAAAAATATAATAAATAATTAGAAATTTAATTAGAAAAAGAATAAAAAGGTGCAAAAACTGCTTCGATGTCATAGAATAAGTTTCAAAGGATAGTAATTCATGTTTACAAAAAAAAAAACAAGAACACGTGCTGGGACCTTTTAACATTTTTACTTAAACAACAGTTTTGTATAAATAATAATCGCTAGTCGATCACTTAATGCAAATTTCAAAGCATCATAGTTAAAGAAGAACAAAGAAATAATTAAACAGAACTATTGTTTATGTGTCGAATATCTTAAATTATGTTCGAAATTTCGTTTGTATTATTTAAACATTTTTGTCTATTATTTATTTCCATCATTAGTTGCAAACACAACATCCTTAGATATAAGTGTAAGATCTTATTATGGTTGTGTATGTATGTATGTGTATGTGTGTGTGTTTGCACGTGTGTTGTGTTCATGCGTGAGGTGTATGTGCATCATTTAGTTGATGTAAATTAAAATAATAAAAAAGGAATTTAACTGGTACATATACAATATATATATATTAATATATTATTATTATTATTATTAATATTATGTTGTAAAATATGAAGATATACAAAGAAACGGATTTATGTATCGTTGAAATAGTAGTAACTTAAAAAAAGAAAAATTGCGGTACGTTTATAATTAATTGCAAGGAATTATTTGTAGCTTTTTAATTATTAAGTGTGTGTATGTGTGTTTACACACATATAATATATATTATGCGATGTATTGTTTAATAAGACTTACACTTTATTTTATTTTTTAATCTAAAGTAGTACAGGCCTGCATTAAAACATGGTCAGACATTAAAGTAGTACAAGGCATGTGTATTAAAATATGATCAGACATAAAAGTAGTACAGACCTGCATTAAAACATGTCAGACATGAAAGTAGTGTAACAAAGCATGTGTATTAAAATATTGTCAGACATTGAAGTAGTACAAATCCAGGCATCTATATGTGGTCAGACATTTTAAAGTAATACAAATCAGAGGTTCAATATGGTCAGAAATTTTTGTCAAAAAATTCACTATGACCTTCAAATCTTTTATGCACTTTGTTTTTTTATAGGAACAAATGATTTCCCTTAAATATCAAACGAATTTTACTTTAAACATTTTGTTCTTATCACTAAAATTTGCTAAAGTTATTGGGGTGACTGATATTTACGAGATCGATTATCGATTATGTGCTCTCATTTGTGTACGTGTATGTTTGCTATGTAAAAAGAGAAAAAAGAAAAAAGAAAAAATGGGCATTGACGTAATACGAAGGATGCTTTTGATCATCGTACTCTAGGGCGTTTATGGCAACCAATATTTAAATGCATATCCGAACGGTATTTGAGCGTAATCGACTGAAAATGATTTTGTCAGAGGTTTACACACATACACACACATATATATACGAAAAAAGAACATAAATCCAATGATGATGATGATGATTATTATTATTATTTTTTGTCTATATCTTTGTATGTCTCTTAAAACGTGCACAGAATATTTAAGTACCTGAAGTTAATATTATAATTATCTTTTTGTTTCGCATTATCTATATCAATTAATGCGAGTTGTTCGTATTGTTTCAAATCTTCTCTTCTTTTCTATTAACAGTAATTCAATTAATTTGTTTGTTTTTTATATTTTTAATGTTAACAAAAGGAGGACAATGATAAGGGGAATGCAGATTTTATTTAATTTTTCTTTTGAGGAATGAAGTGTGTTAGAAAAATATATTGTCGAAGGTATGTCGCATTAGAAAATTATTATAAATAAATGAAAATCACCTATCTTGAAAAAGAATGCAATTATGAATTATAAATTAATATGAATAGAAGCAAAAAATAAAAGAAAATGAAGAAAAAAGATAAGAAGAAGAATAGGCTCGAATATCTGCGTCTTACCATATGCAAGTACCATTAGATTTTAAGTAGATAATGTATCTATCATTATGACTTAAAATTATATAAAACGTGCGCATGCGTAAACGATTATCCGTGTTCTTCCTGTTGTTGTTTATTATTATTCTTTACCTTTTTCTTCTTCTTCTTCTTATCCATTTTTCCTTCCCTTTTTTTCTTTTATTTTATGTATATATATAGAATAACTTTGGAGAATGTGTTTTTTCTTTTTTTAATATTATTAAAGATTCGTTTGTTCCGTTTTATTGTAATTCTTCTTATACAGAGTTCGGCTATATATATATATATGTGTACATACATAAATACATTACATAAAGTACATATACATATATATATCTATGTATATACACATTTATATACAATATGTATGTATATTTTGTTTAAATAATATGTTGCAATAAGTCGGTGTATATATGTTTCGATTGAATAATTGTTTTAATTACTTGATTCTTAAAGTGCATTCTTTATAATCAAGAGTTTATTGTTGGATATTTTTTTTTAAATTCTTCGTGTGTATATCATTTTTATATTCTTATTCGCATATGATGTATGTATGTATGTATGTGCGTGTTATATGTTTTTACGTTCGTGTGTGTGTACGCGTGCGTGGGCGTGTTATAAGTATATTTATTATATACAGAATGACTTTTTAGTTCTTATAGTATATGTATATATATATATATATATATATATATATATATATTTCAAATAACATTGTTAAACAATAATTTATTATTTCGCTTAAGCTAAACATTTATAACATGCACTTTTAATGTGCCATCTCTCTCTTTTTTTCTCACACACACACACACACACATACACACGCGTTCTCATCTTGTTTTTATTAATTCAATTAATTAATTAATTTCTTTATTTATCAAAGCATAGCAAACGCGCACGCGTATGTATCATCAAGCTTTCCAATCGTCTTATAATTCACGTCCCCCGTTTATACTACAATGTTCTTGTTGTTGTCTTTTTTTTTTTTAATCATTTTCCACTTTTCTGTTTTTCACTCTTACTCTCTCTTTCACTTTGTTGGTTTTTGAAGATTCTTTTTTCAACTGTCGGTTAATTAATTTATTTAATTAATTTTCAATGAAACAAAATATTTATTATATTTTCTCACTCGTTATTATTATTTTATATATTATTATTATTAATATAATGATTATTAATTATTATTAGTATTATTATTATGGCTCTTATTCGAAGACTAAGAACACTCAAAGCTGATCACAGTCTGTGTCTCATATGCGTTCATTTTCTTTTCTTTTCTTTTTATTAATTTATCAGCCAAATTTGTTCAACATGAAAAAATTATAATTAAATAGGGACGATAATGTTAATAATATAATATATATATATATTTGTGTGTACGTGTATATGCTTATATGATTACGAGCATTTAGCAATGGCTGTTTTCAGCAATTTTTCATTTGCGATGATTAATTTATTTATAACCTCGTATTATTACTTTCACTCCTTTCTTTGTTTTATACTGTTGTTTAGTGTTGGTTGTATTTAATTAATTCATTAAATTGTGGCGAGGTGATACTTTGGTTTGAAGGAACTTAAAATATTTCACAGTTATTCATGAAGCTTTGAAATTTCATCCGTTGTCTTCGTGGTGTAATTATTATCAATTACACGTTATTGTAATTATTTAAATTTATATAAAGAAAAATAAAAGAAATAATTATTTATTATAAATATTCGATAAACGATAGAGTAACATGTAAATCTTTCCAAACTTTTTTACGTATATTTTTGTTCCATCGATTCAATTCGATTGCATTCCGTAGAAATTCGAATTAATTTAAATATTCGCATAGATCGATAATATTTTTTTTTAACGCTTTATTTACAATGCGATAATAATTATATAATTAGATTATATAAATATTTCATATATATATATATCGATCGATTTCGTGGAAATGAAATTGATATTTATTAATGTTTTTTTTTTAATCTTGGACGCAATTATAGTCTGGCATTATCGATCGATAAATAAATCTGCGCCACCGTTTTCTTTTCTTTTCGACGTGGGATCAATCTCGTTCATAATTTTTATCTCATTTTCTTTCTTATTTTATTTCCTTTTTCATTTACGTTCCATCTCTCTCTCTCTTTCTCTCTGTCTTCCTTTTTGTTTTCTATTTCTTAACTTTTAAATTTCATTTTACAACATCGAGTATAATGCGTAGACACGAATAAAGCACTCAAAACTGCGTTCGGGGGAAAGATGTAAAAGATTGTCCATAAAAAATGCAAATATTTTGTATATATCATTTATAGATCATCGAGATTATGGTAGGACAGTAGATAAATGTAGTTGTATGTGTAAATGTGCATACAAGTGTGCGTGTAGCCGTGTAGAAATTGTTTTTTTTTTTATCGAGATATTCCATCATGAATTTTTCGGGACGATACAATAAAACCGACGAGATTTGTAAAGAAAAAGAAAAAACACACACGTTTGACGTGAAAGGAAAATTTTGAAAATACAAATGTAAACGCGAGATCGATGATCTAGGATTTAGATCTTTCTTTCTTTTATTCTTTTCGTTTATAAAAAATTCTTCGTTTGATTGGTCTCCGCGATGATTAAAAAAAAAAAACATTTGCTTGGTTTTGGACTTGCTTCGTTTTTTTTTATCGTTTGTTCTTCTTCTTTTTTCTTTTTTTAAATCGGTAGATCGACTCGGTTGTTAATAAAAAAATGTATTCGCGTAGATATAACAGGCGCGAACACGATTAGCAAAAATTCATTTATCAAAAACTTTAGTTAGGGAACTTGTATTATAATATATTCGTAAAGAAAACAAATTGTATGTTCACTTTTTACGTCCAGAATTCATTTCAAGTTTATATGTATATGATTTTCTTTCAAGTCTTCGATATAGAGAGCACTTTTTTCCATTTTCATTTCAATCGATTGATTATGAGAATGATCTAATGCAAAAGTCAATTTTATCGTAAGCAGTAATACTTTAATAATCACAAATATCTCAAATATTAAAACAAAAAAATATCATTATTATATAATTAAAATTATCCCAAATATCAACGTGTTAATAAATAATTTTTAAATAATTTGTCATAGCTCTATTATCAAAACGACAAAAATAATTATTCTATAGTCCAACTATCTAAAGAAATAATAAATGATTGAAATATCACTTTCATAATTAATCGATCCATTTGTTTATACGCATTGAATAATTTTTGTTTCATTTTTTTTGTCTATTTTCTATTTTTTCATCTCTTTCTCTCCTCCTTCATTAACATGGCAGTTAATTTGTTACTCGTTTAATTGTTGCTAAATAATTTCTACTTTCCGCCGGCGGTAGCTAATAAATATCCTGTATGCGTGCGTGTTTTTTTTAATGTCTCACGTTACTCACAGGATTACTAATTCTAAATTGAATAAATATCGGAAGAAAGTATCCATCCTTTTTTTTTTTCTTTCTCTCACTCTCTCTCTCTCTTTTTCATTTTCTATATATTTATATTTATATTTATAACTAACGTTCGTTCATTATTATATTAATTTTACTTCTCGTAATCCACAATAATCGTAGGCCTTGAGAACCATATTTTAAATAATCGAATTTAAATGAAACCACTAGCATTATGCAATTTTGCCTATTTTGCGAAAATGCACCGGGGGAAAAAAAGAATCGACGTTCAACTCGCTGTATAGAAAAGAAAAATTATATTTTGGTCCGGACGATATGATTGGTTCATAAACGTAAAAGTTGGTAAACTTATGGCACTTCGATAACGAAAGTTTATAATCAATTCTTTCTCTCTTTCTCTCTTTCTCTCTCTCTCTCTCTCTCTCTCTCTCTCCCCCCTTTTTCTTTCTTTCGTTCGTTAAAAAAAACAAAAGAATCTTTATATTTACATACACACTCGTTGGACAAAAAGATATCACATTTGTGTTATCGTTTAGTCGAGAAAAGTGTATATCCCATAAGATATTTTTCCTCATTTCTCAGATTAGAAGCTGAAAATAGTTCATTGTCGATAAGAATGAGGATTTGTTTGAAACATTCTAACTAGCTTGAGATTGTATCACTGGAGCACCCCTGTGTAACATCGAAGCAGGCCTTGATTTTCTTCCAGTTGCATTTCCTGGAAGATTCGTGGTCGCTTGTTGATATTGTTGTGCAATTGATTGGGCTATCACGGAATCTCTCTTTGGTATTTCCGGAGGTGATTGTAACACCTCCATGTATTCCTTTATTAAATTAGCTATTTGGTGTGCCTAAAAAAAGTCAATCAGATTAGATAATATTACTTTGTATTTCCACAATCGTATTATTAAATTTAGATTAATTCATTCATTCGTATATCATTTTACCTGAGAAGTTGTGAGTATAACTTTGCTCTGTTTTTTATCGGTACAAGTGATTATCATCAAACTACTAATAGCAGGATTGTAACTAAGTATGCTACTGTATTCGTAAGTACATAAAGTATTTCTCGAACGATGTTCGAGTAAATGTAATCCTAGTTGATCGACTGCAAGCCATAGGACTCTGGGCCAATTCGATGTGAATGATTGCATCACGTCGAAGATCGTTGCCCTATGCAAAGGCCACGATTGGATTAAATTTAAAAAGGCTTTCTTAGCTTCCGGCGGTGTCATTCCTCTTAATGACTGATGGTGTTGAAGGACTCCTTCTATGCACACCGTCGGTACTAGTCTTGATGGTAGGCAGTGACTTGATATTGTTCGATACTCTTGCTCGGCTAATCCGTCGTGACAATCACCGAGTTCTAATTGAGCTTGTAAAGCCGTTAACATCATCTGCAATAACAAATAAACATTATTTTTTTTTGGAAATTCATTATTTCCATCTTCCAATAAATGTTAATATATTTACGGCTTCCTTTTCGGTTATGGGAAACCGATCGGCACGAAGATCGTGAAGAACTTGATGATAAAGCAATTCTTTTTCTACAGGATCATCAAGATTCATGTACTGATCGAGGAACAGGTGTTTCTTAAATAAGAAAAAGTGATGTGCGTGTTTCCTCTGCGGTTGTTGTCCTTGTTGGGATGCACTGGCCGATCTGTATCGTTCCCATTTCGACATAACGTCAGCTATTTTTTCATCAGGGACTAGAGCTCGTTCGGTTGGTCCTAATACCTCGTAAATGGCATAACCTAGGATCGAAAGTAATATATCTTGATTAGTAATAGCATATCAAAAAGGATGTGTCGTCTCAATAGAAGAATTTTCTTACCCATAGCTGTTTCTTCAAGCCCAATCTTAGCTTTGATTATTTCCATGACATCAGTCGCAGTGGCAGACGGATGAAATTCAACGGCATGATATTGTCCGTCCATAAAATGAAATCTTGCATAAATTGGTCTACGATTGATCGTGCACATGATCTCTTCCCTGCTAGGTGGCCATTGCCTTTTTCTCGTTCCTTGAGTTTTGTAAAGACACTTCTCGGCGAATCTAGCGTATTTGCCTTCTTCGGTGACGTAATCGCTGGCACATCGTTTCAAATGTGCTATTAGATATTTGCGAATGAGTTTCTGCGGTGGTAGAATAACCGAGCATGCTAAGGAAAGTAATGCCCAATGCCTTAGATTAACTCGACTGTTTGGATCAGGATGGTCGGTGGTTTGTTTGATCAATTGCAGATACAATTCTCCCAAAAGAATATCTTTTCTGATACACCTTTCCATAACCGTTTGTATAAGATTGACGTGTTCGTCCTCGACCCTTCGAACGGTGTCACCGTTTTGACCAAGACCAGCATAAGTTAAAATCAATTGGAAAACGCCCAGGGCCATTTGATCTTCCGGATCAGGTAACTTGAAAAGAGTCTGTGGTATTGCTTGTCTACTAAAAGCCCAATAAGCATACGGGAAACCTTTGTAGGTTTCACCGTGATCCGTAGCACTACCGTGTTCTTGTCTAAGTTTTTCTATTCTATGCTTTGACAATCTTCTCAAAGTATTCCTCAAAAATCCACCACCGGAATCTTGAGGTTTCCTTAGAATCTCGGCATCGACCAATGTTCGACGACAATTAACCAAATTGTGATAAAGCCTGATGCGATCCTCGTTGGTGATACCTTTGAATTTTTTCGCAGGAACTTCGTTTTCCGTGATCCATCCTGCTAAGGCAGGGCAATAGCTCACGATTAGACTACCTATCTCATTTTTTTGTGCTGTCTCGAATACAAAACACTTATGCGAGCTATCAGGGTTGTGTCGTAGCAAGGAAATCGTTATGAACGAGTCGCTTGGGTCCAACATTATACTTTCAACGTCCTGGTAACGATATTCGGACAATACAAATTTGTCATCAGGCTTGATCAACATTAAACCATCGCAATTGATACCCAATATTAATTGATTGCCATAAGACCAATATCCTCGATACGTTACGTTGAACATTGTTGTACCGTACAACGGATATTGCATCACACAGGAGAGATATAAAACTTTAGCTGCTAATTCCTTACGACCAGCACCGTATTGTCTATGTGCTTGTGCTATGATCGGTACCCAAACGTCATCACCACGTGCTCGGCTTATTCGATACGGCAAAAAACTATCAACCTCGCTGTAATAATCTAATCTGTCGTTGTCTTTTGGGTCACCCAATGCCACTTGAGCTTGCAATCCTGCCAATTGTAGAGCCACTTTTTCGGACACTGGGAAATCATCGCACTAAAAAATAGAAATTTCATTAAAACAATTTGTTGGAATAATAAAAATGATCTGTTGTACGTTTGACGATACCTTTACAACATTATATACAGCTTGTGCATAGAGCATGTTAACTTCAACCGGATCTTGGGATATTTCTCGTGTGTTACGAAACAGTCGGCGTTTAAAAACGAAACGATTGTCTCCGCTACCGAGAGTTGCATTATTTCCACGTCTTAGGGTCGAGAATGTTGATTGGGATGTGTTCAATTTGCATTGTTTCCTATGAAATAAATGTATTTTCTCAAATGATGACGACAACCTTAAAGTTAGCTTTTCGAATTACTTACATTTCCCATGCAGCTATCACGTCGTATAGATAATCATGAGCCCTAACGTGTTCCTCTCCATCCGGTCTGCTTTGATAAATGGCCCAACCTTCCAAAGATCTGAGACCCAATTTGTCAGCTAATTTAGCAACAGCGTCAGCTGCGGTGTCAGTTGGATGAACATCGATAGCCTTAGTTCTACCATCGAGAAAAAAGAATCTGCACACTATCGTACCCAATCGTCTCATTGCAGCAATCTCAACGGTCGAAGGTGGATATTGTCTACAGGAAACTTTGGTGTTCTTGCAATTGTCGATGCACCATTGCACGTATTGTCTTAGTTTACCTTCGAGAACTAAATTCTTTCGAAGAAACGAGACGAAATATTTGTAAAGCAATTTGCTTGGTTGAAACGCAACGATGGCCAAGCAGAGTAACAACCATACGCGTTCGGCCCATTCGGGATTAGGATTATTAGTAGCTTGTCTCATACACTGTACGAATATTTCATCCCTCAATTCTTCCCGTTCTATTCCATACCCGATGATACTTTGTATCGTAGCTATTTCTACGTCTAATTTCATTTCTCCACGGATATATTTACAGAGATCCCTGAATACTGAACAGGCAACGTTAACGTTGTCAGGATCGTACATATGAATATGAGAATTGGGAATACTAGATCCTTTGTAATAAGTGACCATTTCATATTTCGGAATAAATTCGACACTTTTGCCACGTGATTTTCTCGTAAGTGTAGCCATTATCGTTCCCTCAGGTGATCTTTCGTGACTGTTGAAATAATTCTGTGCAAATTCGACGATATCGTGATAAGTGGCTTGTTCGATATCCTGTTCCCTCTTATCCTCCAATTCTTGCAATTTACGTTCGACTCTACACTTTCTTCTCTGTTCCCTTTCGATAGGAGGTTGTGGTACTTGTGCCTGTTGTTGTTGTTGCAATTGTTGTTGCTGTTGTTGCGGTTGTTGCTGTTGTTGCTGAATAGGTTGTTGTTGTTGTAGTTGTTGTTGTTGCTGGTCGTGACCATTTTGTTGCGGTTGAGATATTTGGGTTGGATGATGATGATGATGATTGTGATGCAGCAAATGATGGCCATTAGAATTCTGTGACTCTGGTCGTGGTGGAGGACTGCCAGCAAGTGGTTCCTTTACTTTACTGATAGGTACTGGTGGTGGAAAACCACAACTATCACCGTTCATTGTTCCCGGACTACCATTGATCATAATGGGACTACTAGGCCCACTTTCTTCTCGTGGTAAAACAGATTCGTATATAGGCTCGCCGTTATCCGCCGAAGAGTCCCCGTTCAATGCCAACGGAGGAATTGGTGGTGGTGGTGGAGGTGGTGGCTCCGTTGGTTCAGGAAGACTCGGTTGACCCAATTTTCCTGTACTCCCACCTATTCGTTGCGCTTGCTGTACCGGCGTTATTTCTTGACCATTAGGCGTCGTGTTAATCTTCGATTCCACTTTAGAATTCATTTCTAATTCCTGCTTTATCACCGTTTCCAATTCGACGTCCAAATCTTCTACGAGGTTATCCATCTGTTCACCGATTTCTTCGATTATTTGATTGCTCTTCGTCGATTGGACGTCGGACAAGAATGAAAACAAATTGTCCAAATCGACCGATTGCAAATCAGACGCTGCTATCTTCGAATTCATTTGTTCTGCCATTTGAGTCAACGTTGCTATCTCTTCTTGTGCTTTTCTGTTGGGAAAGAAAAATTATCTTCGTTACAAAATGTCATATCTAGATTTATCGGGAATATTTGAAACCAATAATAAAAGCAAAAGCTCCTTTGGATTCGTCAATAAATATTGTTCACGCGTTATATTGAATCGGACAAAAATATCTATCTGACGCACATCTATACATTGTAACATGCTCGCGTTTCGCGTTACAAACATGCAGCAAGGAAGAAGAAGGGTCGTTTATTCGTCAGCTGTATTTTTTGACGAACTTACCCTGGTTCCATTCCAACAATACCATTGTACTGCGCGCTATAAGAGACACAAACGAAACACTGTTAACGTATCGTCGACTGTTCTCTATTTAACAATTATCCCAGACGATTTTATGAGAGTCTACCATTTGTACAGGGTGATATTATTATTTTCTATAAAATATCCGTTTAACATAAAATTTCGATTAATTATCCTTCATCGAAACTTTGAAGCAATTAGCATTTAAAAAGTTTTCGAAAGGAGTAACTACTTCGTCAAATTGTCTAGACGATTTTGGACCAACACTAATAGCAAGACATTTAGATTATTTGTAACAAATCACCCTGTACATCGAACGAATCCATGCATACATGAACAAATTTACAGTTGTACGCTTAAATGATACCTTTGACTTTCTTCCAATGCTTTCTTGTCCTCCATCAATCTTCTTTCTTCTTCTAATCTTTCTCTCTTTCTCATCTCTTCGTCCACTCGTCTCATTTCCCTTAATGCCGCGGCAACTTCCCTGGCAAAAACACCTCTCAAATGGCTTTGTATAATAATGGCTGCCCTGCGTTTGCGAATAAATATAATTCGCAGTTTCCAGCCACGGTACGCGTGCTGTACTTTCAACGCGGCCTCCCGAATCTTCTTGTACTCTGGAAAAATAATCGTACCAATTTATTAGGAATCGTAAGATAAATGAAATTGACGATTGAACGATTCTAAATATGTGTACCCTTTCGTACGATGTATCCTCGCCAAATCTTTTGTATCATCAAAGCATTGCTGCTGACCATTTGATTTCTGGAATCTTCTAAAGGTTCGTGCACGTAACTACGTAGGAAGACTTTGGTTTTACCAATTTGCCATTCGGTTTCCGGAATACCTTGGCTACTGATCAACGATCTAACAGCTTCTCTGTCATCGCGCGACAACAGATTACGTCCCCTGTCGAGGCATCGATATCTCGCGACGAAATCATGAAAACCCATGTGTATCGGGAAGCCTTCCTTTCTTATACGAATGATATCCAACATTCCAAGATATTTCAATTGATCGAGAACGAGTTTCTCGTCGTAGTGATTCGAGACTTTTTCCATGTTGGGTTTGATGCAACGCGCGTACCAAGGTGTTGTTGCTTGCAATACATCGACCAGGGCTTGCAATTGGTGTCGAAAGGAATCGCACAACGTTGGTTTACCCTTCGACGTTCCACGAGACATCGTTGTTGTTGCGTTACCGGTTGCACGAACTATCGTACATCCTAAAAGGTCTTGATAAACTGTGATCTCTTGGACAAACTCGCTTGTACTTCTCGACATGAAGTCGAAAAACACGTCCTGCTGAACGTCCCTATTCTTTTCAACGAAACCTTCGACTGTGTAAGTCACGCAACCTGCGTAATGTCGGATGCCAAATTCTTTTTCCCACCTACGACGATCCTCACCTTTGACGTAACACGGATGATTATCGAATTCGGCGTGTAGGTTAGTTAAATATGCTAGGTCGGAACCTTTTGGCATGTGGCATTGTTCGGTAAGCAATTTTAATACGCATCTCGGTGGTTTCTCGATCAATTCCAAACACATGGTATTGTCCGTAAACGTTATATGAGAATATTGAATTTCTTCTTGACGATACAGTTCTTGTTCCAATGCGAAAACGTAATGGTTGAAGAATTTGTGAAGCTTCTCGTTGGTATAATTAATACAAAGTTGTTCGAAACTGTTTAGAGAAAAATTCTCAAACCCAAATATGTCGAGCACACCGAGAAATCGTGAACTGTCTTGTCCAGGATTCGTACAATTATTTATATGATTGATTAACCATGCAAACGTTCGCGAATACAATGCTTTGGCCATTGCGTGACGATTTTCTTTGGCTTCTTGCACCTTAAGTGGAATCTCTGTTATGTTACCGCGTACATTGATTTGCCGTATCAGCACGACCTTTCTTAAATCCTCCACTTGAAGACCCAAAAGTGGGGCCACCGTTTCGATTATTTCCTCATCCTCCTCGGTCAATTCGCATCTTTCACCGTCGACATCTTCGAAATTTAAATTACCCAACCATAAGATTGCTGATAGCACACGGAATATTCCCTCGCACATTTCTGGGGCTACCTGAAAATGTTCGAATAAAAGGAATAATTAGGTGAACAGTTGTCAAAGGTTTTTAATACGTTTAATCTGGGGCTTTGTTTTTTTTTTTTACTTGCAGCACGTTAAATGCCAGCCTCAAAGCGTCTAATTTTCTGGAATCCGATATCCCTCCAATTTTAACGCATCCGGACTGATTAAGATACTTGTAATGAATCGCTGGTTTCAGCTTGAATTGTTCGGCAAATTCTTTATCCCTCGTACCAGCCTCCACCAATTGATAAAGGACATGATAATTACGTTCCCCAGGACTTTGAAACGTAATACGACTTTGTTCCAACAAATAATCCTGAATGATACAACCCTTGATCATCCATTTACTGTCGAAGCAAACTTGCATGAATTTACCAAATCTTGAACTGTTGTCATTTCGCACCGTTTTAGCGTTTCCTGTGGGGAATAAATTATTTGGGTGATTAAAAATCAATAACTCTCTCCCACATCAAATGTTATTAAATTTATTCATTACATTCATTTGTGTTCTGTTTCAAATTTTTATCCTCATTTTCTAAGAAGGGATTTTTAATTTATAAAATGAAATAGAAAATCACGCGACAAATGAAAACTGTTCTAGATTCTTGAGTTGAGTGCACGTTTCGATTCTTATTAATCCTTCCTTTTCCCCCATGACCCAGATTCTACCCCTCGCAACTGCATTTTACACCTGAATTGCCACGCTCGTCCTTGACTCAAACCACTGTGAATCCTGCCTTTTCATTTTTAAATGACATTGCACGCATGAAACGGGGGTAGGAAAAATGATCTCTCGTGTTTCTTTCATTGAAGAATCTATGTCAAAAGATTACACTTTGTGAACATATAAAACGATAAAACTAATAAATTCAATAGAGTACCCACACGAATAAACTGTGAAAGAAATTAATTATCAAAAAAGTAACGCGTGTGTTTAATTGTTTCATTGAAATATTGTTTGGATCGTGAAATGATTGTTGGAAATGAAATAATAACGATACAAAAATAATTACCAAAAGCTTCTAAAATGGTGTTGGCTTCCAATATTTGTTGTTCAACCCAAGTGTCGACGTTGCTAGTGACGGAACATAAATACTGCAAGATGAATTTCGTTGTCTCGGTTTTACCAGCACCACTCTCACCGGATATAACACAGGATTGATTACTTTCCGTATCTTGAAGTGATCTGTAGGCTGCCTCGGCTAACGCGAAAACGTGTGGCTCGAGTGCTCCCATTTTTTTCCCATGATAACGACTAACATATTCCTGCAAAAATAATTATTTATACAAATCATAAAACATTTGGCCCCAAAAGGAATATGTTTTTCTCTCATTGCTTACATTTTTATCAATTAAATATAATCAATTAATTTGTTCGTGAATTTATGATCATCGATGATCTTCTCTCTTTCTCCTGATTGATGAATTTTTCAGATTGAAATTCTTTATGGAATCGTTCAATCATAATGAAAACGCATGCGTAACTCTGATGATACTTCGTATAACAAAGAGATTGCAAAAAAGAGGGAAAAACGAGAATGAGAGGAGGAGGATGAGGAGGAGGAGGAGGAGGTGGAGGTTTTAGCATCCTTGTAAAGCGGATTAATTGCAACGCGAATCCGATGACGCGTGGTGTAGTAGTTAGGATATTTACGAGCGAGTTTCAGTAATCCCCTTTTCGTTTGTAGGCCGACTCCCTTGGGAATAACGTGCGGCATACATACATGCATATATGCGCGTATGAAACTACAAATAAACTCATGGAAAGTTCTTATTAACGAAGCTACTTGGAAATCAAATCGAAAGATCAATTTTAAATTCCCCCTTTCTTCCAAACATTTTCTACCCGTAAATATTAATAGGGGATTGCAACGATAAAAGCCATCAATCTGGTATGAAAAATATTCGTGCGTTCGTCTCCACAGATTATTATTTTTCATTATTTAATATATTTTCCATTTTTGTTAGAGTTAGAAAGTTACGAAAGGAGCCAGCCAAGATTTATTCACATTCAATCGTAAAAGTCTTCAGGAAAAGTGTCGAGGTTTACGTTTATCTCCGGTTTACACCGGATACACTGATATATACATTATGTATGTAAGCAAACGTTCCTCAGAATGCAGTACAGGACCCCACATCTTTCTTGTGTAGTGCGGAAAGAGGAAAGTTAGCTTGCTTGCTTGCTTGCAAGTAGTGTAACCTAGTTTTGTGTCAGACGTGAACTCCTCTTTCCCCTTTTATTTCTATCTATTTTTATTTATTAGTGGAAAGGGTTCGTTAAAGTTCGAAGTTTAACATGTGGAGGATTTAATATTTCAAAGACAACAATAGGAAATGGGTGCAAATTTATGTTACGATTTTTCAAAAGTTCGTTTTCAAGATTTTTAAGATACTTAGAAACAAAAAATGGAAGTAATGCTTATATTCAATAAAAATCCACTGTGTCTTATACGTATAAAAGGGCTTATTTTTATACAGCAAACGTTCGTTTAATCAAATGATCAGGATTCAAACTACGACTCGTAAAAGTATTCCTATATATTTAGGTGCACTAACAGGGTGACTCTTTATCAATGTTTTTTTTTCTTTTTCTTTTCTTTCTATCTTTTCTCTCTCTTCCTGTTAGCCTATAATAACTCGCGTATTCTTTACCTTAATAAAGTTATGATAGTGACTTCGATTTTTGTATGCAACAAAACCAACTAGAAGAGTTTTTTAAACAAGCTTCTTCCTAGATCTAATAATGTCTTTATTTTCTTTTCTATTTTTCTTTTACCTTTCCTCTTACTCTTTTCATTCATTTCTTTTTATTTTATTTTCCCGTCTCGACGATATAAAAATGGAGAATAAGAGAAGGACGGTTGCTATTCAAAGTCATTTGTACTTCTTTTTTTTTCAATACGATCGAATGAAATGAAATGAAATCGTAGAATTCTTGATTACTATTTCGATCGAATCATTTCAAGTTGAAGAGAACTTTTTTTTAGATCTTAATTTATCGTCATTCAAATATTTCTATAAATTTTATAATGATCAATAAAAATTATACGTGATTTATTTTAAATGGAATTCAATTCGATAAAGCAAATAAATTAATTAGTTTATTCGAAATATATTTTTCATAAAACATATCACCCTAAATTCAATTAGGGAAGTGTAATGATCCTGTTGGAATTAGTCGTTGTAGTGGATGCATCTTCTTTCGTTTTAGATAAAAAAGAAAAAAGGAAGAAGGATGGTTGTGTTATCGATGCGCTTTCAAAGCAACACCAACCACCATCACCATTACTAACACCACCACCACCACCACCATCACCACCTGGACACGTTAAAGGGATCTATCTGCATATGCTTGTGTTATTTTTAAAACTCTCGTTTATTTTCCTTCCTATGAGACGGGTATAGTGTGTACAGTTCTTTGAGAGCTTATCCATAGGATTCGAGATAAAAATACATCCGCGAGATAATTTTCTTCCTTTCCAAAAATAAACACCCTACGAGAGAGAGAGAGAGAGAGAAAGATGTTTGATAATAAATCAAAGGAAAAAGGAAAAAAAAAAATAAAAGATTCAGGCATGAATTTTCAAAGACCATTCCCTGACCTTTCACCCTGAAATTCAATTGAAATTCATTTTATATTATCAGGGGGTTGTCATCTTATTTAAATTATCTTTTTAATTAGTTACAATTTCTTGCCTGTTAGAGAATAAATTCTTTTTACGTATTAGCATTGTGTTTCTGCAATTGGAATTATTTTTTAATGGTATAGAAAATAGTGAAAATTATTTGTCGAAAGTTTCGTATAATTACATAATATATAAAACTATAAAAAGTGAATTAAAATTATTGGAATAATTCGTTGTACGTTTAGTATTAAAAAGTGACCTAATTCATACACGTTAGAAGTATCATACTCTTGTTAATCGTGAACTAGGCATGTTGATCGAAGAGAGTCTTTGAGTTTTCGAGACCCCTAGGCTGGCAAACACTAGATAGTCTCACGTGTCTCGAAGCATGAGCTCTTTTTTTTCCTTTTTTTCTCTTTCTCTCTCTCTTTTTGCTACTCTTGCTCGTTCTTCTCTCTCTCTCTCTCTCTCTCTCTCTCTTGGTTGAGTATTACAACACGTCGAGAATCCGCGGAAATTACACCACGAAATGGGGTTGCGAGGCTTATGCACCCGAGAAAGAAAGAGAGTTCACCACTTCTCGGTTCATTTCTTTATCGGGTCAAATCTTGTTCATTATCATATTCGCTTGAGTGATATTCAAAAGTTATCCTCGAGAATTGGGTTAATATTAAAAAAAAAAAAAAAAAAAAAAAAAAAAAAAAAAAATTTGAAGAGACACTTACAAGACAAAAAGTTGGTGTCCTAAGTGACAGAAGGGGTGTAAAAGGGCCGACGATGATAGNTCAAATCTTGTTCATTATCATATTCGCTTGAGTGATATTCAAAAGTTATCCTCGAGAATTGGGTTAATATTAAAAAAAAAAAAAAAAAAAAAAAAGAAAACAGAAAAATGATATCAATGCATCATTTCTTTTTCAATTGTTTTTTATGCCAGAAAGTTTATTGGAATTTGGATTCCTTGTGGTTTTCTTTTACATTCATCGTTAGTTAATATACCATACTTGTAATTTGCATTGCTCTGCATTATAGGCTCAGAACTTTTCAACCCTCCTTTATTATACGCTTAACTATAAGTAGGAAAAAAATCTTGTGCCAGATTAGAATTGAAAATAAAAAGAATTTGATGTCCCGTCAACTGGGGATGATTGGTTCTCCCCTTATTGACTAACAATTGAAATTTTCATAATAATTCTTTCAAATAATTATTCGTTTCTTATTTATTAATTGTTGATATTTGTTTGAACATTGATAATTTGTTTGTATCATAGATACTTGTATATAAAAGAAAAGGTAAGATTAATTCGACGGTTTAAACGTTTGCGGAATCGAAAATGGAAGGTTTCTCTTATTATCGGTGATATCCAATACCGTAATCGAGTTCTCGAGTTTTAGCTCGACGTGGTCAACCTAGTCGTGCTAACGGAAATTGCATTGCACCATAGTCGATCCATCATTTGCTCTTCTATCGATCTACCATTAAATACGACACGGATTCGTATTACTTCCTTGTAAGAAGAAATGGAACTTCCAAATGGTAACATAACTAAATTTGTGCCAATCTATCAAACACCTACCGTTTGAGGTTCTTCGATTAACAATCGAATACAAATTAATCTAACACCGAAACCTCCCACCCCCGAAAAATCTCAAACGAACTCGAACAATAAACTACTGCATATAATTGTGAATTGTGAATCCGTGCAAAATATTTAGCATAATTTATCAATGCAAACATTCATCCAATCATTTTGATAGTCCCAGTACAGTAAGAACCGATTCAAAATCATTGTTCAACAGTTACTTATTTGCAATGAAAAGAACATTTGCATTTGCGTAGAGACATTTTTGAGGATTAAAAAGGGCCCACCAAAGGGTTTGAAAATCAGTCTGAAATCAAAGAAGGTAGACTCTCGTGGTGGTATGAGAAAAAAGCAGCTGGCAATGAATATAAAAAGAAGGAAAAGTGATAGAAATGGAGAATGGGAGGAAAAGGCAGACAAAAAAGGAGGAAAAGAAAGAAACAAATGGTGGAAAGTAGCCGAAGGCATTATGGTGAACCCAGTGGACTAGGAAGAGGACGATGAAGAGGACTAGGACGATGAGGACGAGGACGAGGAACTTTCCGAATCCGATGTGAGCGAGCTCCAGTCCCCGATCAATAACGCGGGGCGTGCACACCACCATTGCTTCCTCCTACCGCCCTTTTCCTTCTTCCTTTAACACGAGAACGAACTTTTCTCTCTTTTCAACGTTCATTCATTCTCCCTTGCATGGGTGCAAGCCTTTCGTTGACCTTCAAAAATGCCTGGCTATCATCGTCGGCCCTTTTACACCCCTTCTGTCACTTAGGACACCAACTTTTTGTCTTGTAAGTGTCTCTTCAAATTTTTTTTTTTTTTTTTTTCTATACATTTACTTCTAGAAGAAATTTCGAACATATTTCCTTGAGTTCCATATCCTAAAACTTCTTGATCGTTTGATTAATACATTTATTCGATCGATGGAATACATAAATTCAATCTTACAATTAATTTTACTGTCCGGCACCAATTTTTTTGTGTCGAAAGCTCACAATCAGCTTTGAAACTGCACGATGGATTGTTTTCGTATAAAAATTAACTTTGGAAATATTAATAATAATTCAAAAAACGCACCAACTCCGATAATACATTAACGAAAGTAAAAAAGGAAAAAGTAAAAAGAAATATAAGAAAAATAAGAAGAAGGAGAAGAAAAGAGATAGACAAGTATGCGGTTATCACAGAGCAAATTGCTTCCTATCGGCTTATCGTCATCCGGTAAGGAAAAAGGGAAAAAAACAAAGATGAAAGAAAAAAAAAAGAATGCATTTGAAAGTGCATCGCGTGTCGGCCGACTGATTGACCGACGCAGCACTTCTTCTGCCTCTTTACTACCTCTTCATACACACACACACACACACATACACACACTTTTTTAACGACCCGTTTAATCTCTATTTCTGGCCACACGCGGTACGTCGAACACACACACACCAGTTGTAAGTAAACATATGCAAGAGACATATATATATATATATATGTGTGTGCGTGTGTGTGTGTGTGTGTACTTAAAGTGGCATCAACTACTCGAGAGTACCCGTGTCTCTATGTCGCGTTAGGGTAGTGTATACCACAAGCATGTTCTTCTACTCCTAGGGCTTAGGGTTGAAAGAAGAATTTACTTCGGGATCGAGTGGAAGCCACTTTGTACCTAAATACGGTTCGTTGACAATCTTCTTCTCTTACGTTTTAAACGCACGACACTTTTAACGCCATAAGAAATATTCGGATAAGGAATACCGATATTACCTTTTTTTTTTTCTTTTTTCTTTTTTTTTAATCCTCGAAAACAATTAGACATATTGTTGCATCGAATAGATAGAAGAAACGTTTGTTCATTAATATATTATTGGTAATATTTCATTGAAAAATATTAAATAGAAACAAGAATTATAATTGTAACACCCATCTCGTTGCATCGTGGACGAATACCATAGAAAGTTTTGTATTGTTTGTGTTGGTAATATCTAATTAACATGTTGTTTCCCCACGTGCAACCCTCATTTTCGGTACACGCTGAAATTCTATTTTCTCATTTGCAATGTACCCCTTAATGAATTTTTAATTAGGAATAAGGATTGACAATGAAACGTGGATTTTTGTATAAGTAAAAAAACATAATTCACGATGCAAGATTTTGTTCCCATTTTCAATGTAGATTTAATAATCAACATAATCTACATATTCTCCTGTCGTTCATATCAGCACAAGAACGCGTTGCGGCTTCCGTTTCCTGTTTTCATTTGGTATGTGAGATTCCGATAATATCCTATTGATAATGCTTCAAAATTACGTCCTCAGTGTTTTATCAATTTAAACTAAATACTTCGGGAGGGATTATTATTCGCATTAAGAAATTTATTATTTGTCATTTAATTATATATATTATATTGTTTAATTTTTTATCATAATATCCTTAAAGAAAATTTGTAATCTAGAAGAAAAATTGGTACGATCGAGAATAATTTTTTGTTTCCATACTTTCTGAAATTTTTATTATGCTAATAAAAAAAGAAATAATCCCCATCATAAATTGATAAAAAGATAGCCATAAATGTTTGAATTATAAAATCCTTTTGTCAAGATCCAACAAAAGAATCGATCGAAGCTTATCGATCGATTGATCGATGACCGATTAATTTATACTACAAACAATCATCTTTATTAATTATCTGTTCATTGTGTCGAATATTTACTATTCTTTGACGATAGGATATTTACTTCCTGCGTACCAACAGGAAACGTAAGAATAATTTCGCATTGACGTAAGGCGCGTAAAACAAAACTTTTATATTTTTCTTTTTATCAATTCCACCACCTAAATTTAGGTTTAATCTTATTATCCCGTTATCGAGATAGAATTTACGTAACAAACAAAAGCAAAATTACTTACGTTCGTGTAAAAGTCGACCTCCTTGTAAGGATTAACAGCAACCAGAATGGAACCTGTGTAAGTCTGCATTTATTTCAATAATTTCTGAGTTAAGGAAAACACGTGCATACGACAAATAAGAAAATATTAAAAGTAGGGATAAACAAATTCGTAGCTAGACCCAGCAATCAATAAAAGTTAGAATCGTTAGGATCCCTGAGTTAGGACAATGACATTTGCTTATGTTAAACGATGAAAAAAAGGGGACCAGGATGAGGGGATTGGGGGAGGTGAGGTGAGGGATAAATAGGGATGCAAGTTATACTTGGTATGACGTCACGCGAACGATAGTTATTTAGGGGATGACTCAGAGAATGGTACGGGCTAGGAATAAAAGAGGAGGGAGGATAATATATCCATAACGGTTGTTACCCTTCTGTGACATTTTAGGGGTACGACGAAAAACCATACCAAGTTTCACTATCAACGAAATGAAACAAAATCTTCACCACCATTGTTCGGGGTGATAGGAAAAAAGGCTTTTATAATGTTCTAATTTAAATAAACTTATTATTCTAAGTATTTTCTTTTTCGAAATCTACCTAACAATGCCTAAGAATGGCCTGCATTCTTCTGTTTGATGTTTCTTCAGAAGAGTTAGAAGAAAAAAAGAAAAAAAAAGAAAGATGCAATGTCCGAAATGTTGAACGTTTAATCCTGCTGAACAACTACCCTCAACCTTTCCTCCTTGTACTCGTTCGCTCTTTTTCTTATTCTCTTTCTCTCGTTCTCACATTCTCACTTTGAGCTGTTTGCACCCTGTCGTGGCCCAATTTCTTCGGTTCGACGGCTTCTGCAAACACGGGATATGCTAGTTTCTCGAGACTCGCTGCTGTACATCCGGTTTTCTGACCCTCGTATTTCTCTCTCTTTCTCTCTCTTTCCGTTTCTTTCTTTCTTTCTTTTTCTTTCTCTTTCTCTCTCTAACGGCTGTGTGTTAAAAGGTGGGCGAGCTCGTTCTACTCGACGAAAGCAATTGAAGCCGGCCAAGAGCGCTTTTACTAGCGAAAAGTTAATGAGAACGCACTGCCACCACCACCACACCACCACCACCACCACCATCATCATCTTCACCCCCTTTTGCCCTCCCTTCAAGTATCTGTCCCTCCTGTTTCCTCCTATTTCCTTATACAGGTTTTATATGCGTCTTTTGAGTATCTACAGTTTAAGACGAACGAATAAATTGAGAAAAATGACGAATTGCAATGAACGAAGAATGTAACCCACGACTCTGAAGTCATTTACTCGAAGTTGAAAATAATCTAGGTTAAATTAAATAAGAAATGAAAATTCTTAACAAACAGTTGGGGGAAAGCTTTGAACCCAATTTCGTGCGTAGACTATAAAACATTATGACTTGAAACCATTGAGTTGAATCGTTAAAGCAAACACATAACTAGTAGATTACTTTACAACGTGGTTCTACGCAACCCACGCTTATCATCTAAACGGACGTTCCTCTAAACATTACTCAAGCACGAGGAAATGCTCATTAACGAATTGCCCTAACGATCCGCTAACGAACTCGAATCATCGAACTTAACCTGCTAGTTTCGATAAGCCCGATTACTTTGCCTACTACCTTTTCAATATCGCCAATTAGGATTTGTCCTACATTAAACTGATTGCGAATTTCCTATCGATTTCGGTTACCTCTGTGAATATTAAATTCAAAGTAATTCAATGAATTAAACACACACCGAATGAAAATAATTCCAATTGATTCGAATTACCATTAGTCCCTCAGATTTCATTGAATTTAATTAAAGAACAAGGAACTGGGCAGTTTGTGCTAGCGCGTAGGTGCATTTTATTGGAACGCGATGCAGATTGTTGTGCAATCCAAGAAAGAGAAAAAGAGATGATGGATTGGAATGGTTTGAAGGGAGCTTGCAGGCTTCGTTGAGAGGTTGCAAGGGTTGCAAGGGGTTGAAGGGCTTGGCGGGAGTCTCAGAGAAGCAAAAACGACAGTGGGTCGTCGGTGTCGGTCGTTGGGTCGGCAAACCGAGGACGAGATGAATGGGTCTGGCCCTGGGGTGGTTCACCAGCTGACTGGGGTTGTCGCCATGGCAACCAACTAACCCGGGAGCAATGCCCCACCCCTGCAAAATTCATACGTCTTTCTCTCTCTTTCCCACCCAACACACTCCTTCCGTCTTTTTTTCTTCTTTTTTTTTTATTTATATTCCTTTCTTATTTCTTTTACTTTTCTTCTTCATTTATTCTACCCTACCCTATTTTATTCTACTTTATTCCCTACGGGAGGTCTTATGATTTTATTTGACACATTTTTTAATAACTCTAAATTCGAGATAGACAATATTCCTATTTTATAATTTAAATTTATATATGCAAATATAGAATGTAATATTCGTGCATAAATCAAAAATTCAAATAACGAATCATGTATCTATTTTATTATCAGAATAGCAGTAATAAACATTTGTTACGTCTAATCGATAAATCTAAACGTTCTTATCTAATACTTGGAAGAAATCGGAACGTCTGAGCTCTTACGAGTACCTTGAAGAATTCCTATCACACACAGATACACGTAGAGACATTTGGAGATACAAACGACATACTTAAAAGAACCTTTTCCCACTTTTGGATCCTACCAAGAGTTACACAATGCTCGATCATTCTAAAGAATTTCTTTTTAGCTCGTTCGTGAAAGGGCACCTTGGCGCAACCCTTTAAATACTTCCGAAAAAAGTCAAGTGGAATGGTGGAGTAAGAGTTTGCCATAAATACATATATATACACTTAACAAAGAAAAAAATATCTCTCTTTTTCGATTCGCCATTTCTTCTATTTCTGTGAAGAAACCACTGTAAGAATTGGTAAAAAAAGGATACATAAATCTCGTCCCTTTCGTATCGAACTTGAAGGTTCCGATTAATCCCCGTCTCGTCGATATCACTGATGACCGTCATATCCGGCACCCCAAACTCGGGGCTCGAGCCTGAAAAAAGAAATAAAAATATGTCATTTCATTGGAATTTTATTTTTTTTTACAAATCAGAACACATTTGTGTTTCGTTAAGTATTTTAAATACTTCAAAAAATGCATTTCAATATTCATTCGATATTATTGAAATTCCAATTTAAACATGCACACGTTTTATTAAAATATTATTAAAATAATATTTGCGCGCTTAATAATAAACCGGTGTATGCAAATGGCTAAAGTGTTAAGTTGAGAATAGAATAACGATGCAATGGCTATTGGATTAGATTGGGAAAATGTGTCGGTGAAAATCAAAGGAATATCAAGGTATTGTGTCTAGCAAGCCACCTGTTAACCAACCCAACCAATTGCTACTGCTAGAGAACGTCGAGAATTGACACTTAAGTCTCGTTCGATCGAGAATACACTATGGTTTAACCATACTCGCAGTGTCCCATAAATTCTATTGCTATTGCTATGTTTATTTTTCTAATCTTTACAACGAATACTCTGACAATTCATTTAAATCTTTCCTTTTAAATCTTTCCATTTAAATTTACCAAGACACACGCGCAAACAACATTTCAACGTTTGTATATTTGTTTGTCCGTGTATGTGTGTTAATATAATTAATTAAACAATGTTATGAATATAACATGATCAGAAACTCATCGTCCAAGATTAAAAAGATGATTAACAATAAAACAAAAAAAAAAAGGAATGCAAGAAAAAGAGGGTAAGAGGGTAAGATGGAACAAGACATCGGGGTATAAAAAATAGGGTGAGGGTGGTTAATGATCGAGGGTGCTTTTAGTCCCACTCGTTTGGACGTTTATGTGAAGTTAGGAGAGAGGGATCTCTTTCACATCAGTGATGAAGAGAAAAGTATCATGCAATTTCCAGTCCATTCTTCGAGATCGTTCGCGATTTAGTTGCATCCTTCCATACTAAAAATGATCCCTTACACGAGTATGCGGGTATAACAATAGTCACGTATAATACTTAGACTCTAAGGACACCCCCCATTCATCCCCTCCTTCCCATCAAAACAAAATCATAGAAACGATGAAATGAAGAACAACAAATTTTACCCAAATGAAAATTATGCACCCAACGTTTGTAAAATAAAATGGAGAACAAAATTGGCTCGGGCTGGTCCTCGAAAAAAAAAAAAAAAAGATCTTACAGCAGCTGACGTGCAGGTGTCACGGTCATACAGGTGTACAGGGCACGTGACCAATGCACCTGCGTGTGCCCAAAAAATTGCACGGCTTTGGATATTCCTTTTTCTTTCATTCGCATAACGTAAAAAATAATAAATCAATGTCCGATTGATGTTTTAATACAATCAATATGAATATGATTTAATTATTATTTGATTAATTTGAAAAGATCAATCTAAACAAACATCTTTTATAATAGGTTGAATTTAAGAGAATTGCAGTTGCAAAATCCAAGCAACGTGCATTATTGGAGTTTGCATAAGAATATGTGTGGGTTAATAAAGTGTCGTTTCGTGGAACGAAACCAGTGTCTAATTACGTGACGGAAAGTAGTTTAACGACACAACAAGTTGTAAGCTCGGCTCTTAAGAAGCTTACCTACCTTAGGACTAAGCATATGTATGTGTATATGCATATATGCAAGTACCTAGATCATTTCATTATTCTTCTCATATAATCTCATTATACTTTCTCTCAAATTTTCATTATATATTCTTAATGTAATAAAATATAAGAACAAATATATAATAGATAAGGAAATATTTGCCGATGGCAAAGAAAAGACCATTTTTAATCATATTTAAAATCCTAACAATAGATATTCGATAAATTCAACTAGCTGACTATTTCTCGCGTTGTTATGCAACGATCAGAATCCATCGGTAATCTCGTTTTAAACCGATGACCTAAAAATCGTGCAATTTTTCAACAAATCGATATTTGAAAAAGCAATTTTGACAAGCCAACCGATCAAAACATTTCCAACGAATATTTTTGTCTGGAATTTCTTTTCATTCTATGTAGTTAAAGTCCCCTTCCCCCCCCCTCCTTCTCTCTCTCTCTCCTGTGTGTTCTAGAAGGCGAAAAATTGTGACGTCGATGATCGAGGTCGAAAGTTTCATAGAACGAGCCAAGCTGAGTGAGAGACTCCGAGAGGTTCTCAGGGAGGTCGACGACACCTAACAACGGGAGGAAATAATTAACTCCGTTCATTACCATAGACTCGACGTTTTAACCTGTCCAAAAAGACAAGTATATACGTGTGTCTGTGTGTATAATGTGAATATATATATTGTGATGAATGTATGTGTGTGTAAGTCATCTTGAATTGTCTTCTGAGAGAACCGGAATTCGAACATTCGACACCAAACGACGACTATCCAGGATGAGACGAAATTCCAGGGAAGACGGAACCGCTAGGATGCCTCTCATGACTCATTCTACGTGCATCTGACAGAGAAAGAGAAACTATAAGTGTGAGTGTGTGTCTACGCGTACGTGTGTACATATGAAAGTTAGAGAGAGAATGAGAAATACTCATTCCAAGTTCCCCAGACATCTTTCACGTGCTTCTTTTTATTCCTAAGTTCAACATCATTTTCTTTTTTCTTTTTTTCAAATATTTTTCTAATCCTACGTGATTAAAAATATTTCATATTGAAGTTATAGTCATATCTGTGTGGGTGTTTAATAAATATCTGCACAAATTGTAATATTTGTTAGTTATCTTATTTTTTTGTTTGTTGTTTATCTCAATTCGATTAACAATAAGAATAAGAATTTAAAGAGAGAACGGATGTTGTTTAAGAATATCCGTTTACCGAATCGGTCCTCTCCTCGTTGTTTCTTCTACGTGACATCCACATAAAGAAGTAACCGTCCATGGTTGCATTTAGGTAACACACAAGTAAACGTTTTCATCGTGGTAACTTCCCTTTTGGTCGAAGTAACCGAGTGCTTTGTACTCCTGACACTGGATACATACAAAGTACGTATTTATACTGTAAGTGGCTTTATCATAAACGCTTTGATATCTCCTGACATTTAATGTAAACACACGTACACACTCGTACACGGTACATGAATTGCATATACGTATATAGAATATATCGCGTTGCCCGGAAAATTCGTGAACGTTCATATATATCAAATATTTATATTAGATTAATAATTTTTAAATATGCATACACACAACAACTTTTTTAACAAATCAAATCAAATTTTTCAAGCAACACCTTATAGGTAACTTACTTTTACGCCTTTTTACAATTACGTCCTTTTTTACGTTACATTTTGATTATCAAAAATTAGCGCTTTTAATAATTAAATTGAACCTTTTACAAATCGAGTTGACACCTTGATTAATGAAAATTCAATCTTTTTCGCGTCCCTACCTATTTCCATCTACGTCATACGTGATACTGTTACGAAACTCAATTTATGGGAAACAATTTTCTACTTGTTCGTAATATCAAATTTTCAACGGGAGAATATAATTCACCTGGAGGTTCTACGATTTTCTATGCCACTTTCTCGTACATCGTGCTATCCCGTTACAAAACTCAATTTATGGGAAACGATTTTCATTTTGTCCATAATTATATAAATTGTGTTAAATAGGTGAAACTTGAATTGCACAAAGAAAATGAATATGATATAAAAGCAAAAACAAAGTAGCCATTGACAAACTTGCATGAATGAATTCAAAAGTGGTTTTCTGATAAAATAAAAAAAATAAGATATTAAAAATAAACCTAGAAAGAGGTTTCTCGTCACAACTATTTAATCTAATCTGTCTCCGTTCGCGTAATCTGATGAGTGGAAGAAGACTCCGATTCTATTTGGATGTGTCAAACGTTGAATCTAATACGAAACCTTTCTAATATAACATTCCAAAGAAATAACATTAACACCTTTACACATATTTAAAAACATTTATGCAATATAATTATTGGTTATATTTTTTCTGTTAAATAATTTATCTAATACAACGAACACGTGTGTGTAAAATAATAATGGATAGACAATGTAAATGAAATAATAAAAATAAAAAAAAGAATTCGTAATGATTTTGATAACGAGAGTATATAAGTTAAAATAAAATAAATCAGCGCGAACATTCTTCGCTAACCGATATGTACAACAGAAAATGATTAAATAGACAATAGTTTCTTATCGCGAATTCAATATGGCGGATTCAACACCCTGGCAAAAGAAAGGAAAGAAAAATAATAAAAGCTTTGGAAAATTCCATGCTCGGTAAATTAAATCGAGAGTGAAATAAAAGGATTCTCCCAGCTGTGTACGTGTACGTGTACGTGTGTGATTTCAGCAACGTTTTTTCCATCTCTTCGTAACTACTATACTTCCTTTCTTTTTTTCTTTTTATCGAACGTCCCCCCTCGTGCCAACTTCGACCAAAGCTAATGTGTATATACATGTGTGTGTATGTGTTTGCATATATGTCTCTCTCTTTTACTCCCTACATGTCCCAGATTACGCGAGCGCAAATAAATCGAGCGTTAATTCGAACGCGTTTAATAAGGGCCGCGAACTTGATACTCGTCCTATCCTCCTCCTGACCACCCTTTGTTTATACTTATCTCTCTCTTTTTCCTTTGACTTTTTTTTGGTGGAGGGGTGTCGCAATTTTCCCCATTCTTTTTCATTTATCTATTGTCTTAATGTTTTCTTTCATTATCTTTAATTAACGTTTACTATTATAGAAAATTCCTTTAATGACAAATGTGTATCATTAGATATCATTTAAGGAAAATGTAATATTTGAAATACCGTTAGGATGATTCAATGTGAAAATGAAACGTAAAGATGACTAATAGTGTTGGCCAAGAAAATTCGGTACCGGTTTTAACATCGAATAAACATTTATGTACCGTCACGAACTGTCCCTCCTCTTTTTTTCTTTCCTCTTTTCTCTCGAATTTCGTCGGGAATATATCTAATCTTCCTTTTTTTTTTATTACGACAAATATTCGCCATCTTCTCTTTGCATCTTCCCGTGTCTCTTCTATTTAACTTTCCTGTCGAGAGTTTTAACTTTAGAACGCTTTTTTACCTGTCGACAATTTCCAAGTAAGTCCTATTAAACGACCAACCAAAAAACAGATCAAAGTGAAAGAAGACAAAAAAGGAACCTAAGAAAGATGGACGGTCAAACAAATTTTACTACCCTAAAATTAATAATCGGGAAGGGGAAGAAAAAAGAAAGAAAAATAATCATTAGATCAATGTGAACATAATTAAATGAATGAATTCAAATATTACTATATAAAGAAATTGTAAATATTAATGATTATTTTATCAGTCGATCAATCTTGGCAACCATGTTGGATTACTAAAATCAATCAACTTGGGTATGATTATTAAAATGAATGGATGATTCATTTTGAAAAAATCAAAAAGAGAAAGTAAAATGATGCGATAATAATTTGATTGATTTATTAGAAATTTCCAAGATTCATTTAAACGAGAACTAAATTATTTTATCTCCGATATGTTGCTTAGAAACTTCTTCGAAATGGGGTTCAAAAAGAAGCACGCAATGTAGTATGATCACATAATAATTATCGTGCTTGTAACTACGTTAAAACATCCTACTATGATAATAATTCGATGCAGGCCGGTAAAGAAATTTCATAATGAAATTGCAACGTTCACTTTAATGTCATAGTTAGTTACTTAATTCGAACGTCACTATCACTGTATCCAAAATTCGTTTCTCCGAGCAACGACACGAGTGTCTCGTTCTTTTGTCTACTCTCTTTCTATTTCCCTTCGTTTTCCTTTTTTTAAAACAAGAAAAAAGCCTTTTCTAAAATCAATGACACTCATGTCAGAGACACGAGCATCAAAGGAAGGCAAGCAGACTGACTACTGACTCCGAGTACTTTGCTATTTTATACAACGTTACTCAATTACTATCATTACAAATTATCCCTCAAAAATTTGTCATGGTGTTTGTACGAATACAAAATGCAATCGTAGTGCAACATGACAAATATATAATTAAATAAATACAAATGAATTTCCAAAAAATCATCATACGAATACTTTATTCGTTATTTTCTTTTTCTTTCTTTCTCAGTATCGTTTTTGTTAGAAAGGAAAAAAAAAAAAACTGTGTTGATTGTAGGAGCGAATTAGAACACGTTCCTACGATTACCGTCTTTATATTGTCACCCTCATAAGATATCAAGTTGCACCACCCAAGTTTTCTCTTATGCAAGGCCACATTTCACCTATGCGAGAATAAGAGGAAGAAGAGGAGGAGGTGGAAGCTGCTGCTGCATCGAAAGAAGAAGAAGAGAAAGAGGTGAAGGAAGTTAAAGAGGAGGAAGATAACGCTTACATGTGTCTCTTGTCGCTCTATACATGCTTTCTCGTTAGATCGTAACAAAAAGGGATACGGGAGGAAGAAAACAAAAAAAGAAGAAAGAAGTCTAAAAAAGAAATGGTAAAGAATAGTAGGGGGAAAAGTTAAAAAGATAGGAAGAAAAACTAGAATAAAAGAGAGAAAGAAGAAAGAGATAAAGTTAAAGGGAAAGAGAGAGAGAGAGAGAGAGAGAATAATAAGAGGGGTAAAGAAAAGAGCAGAAACGACTCACCCTGAGTGAAGTGTTTCGCGACGACCATGATGTGCGTGCGTGCGTGCGTTGTTGTTCACTACTGCTCGAGAGAAAATTATTCTCTCCACCACCCCCTTTTTCAATTGTCGTTGTCTAAGGCCGAGAGACTAGTTTTGGCTTCTATGCAATCCTTTTTTAAACAATACGAAGGAGAATTTTCTCGTAACACCCCCCCCCCCAAACACTCTTGGTCGAATCAACGATTACCTCCGCCGATCGGATTGGAAAAAAGGTTCTGACGTTTAAAAATCACATGTTCAGACACGCCGTCCCTCCTCCTTTTATCATCATCTTCATCCTTCTTTGTCTAACACTCTTCTTCTTCTTCTTCCTCTTTTTTTTTCTTTCCCTTAGCTTTTCTTTTTTATAAACCCGCACTGTGTACCCCTCGTTATCCCCCTTCGAGAGTAACTAACGCACTTGCGTGGAGATAGTTCTTCCTATCTCTTTTGGCAGGCTGAACAACAAACAACACGCTCGATGGTTGCCACCCGACTGAAGAAATCAGCAGCCCAAGGCTTCCCTTCGTTCACGATCGCCACCACCCTGACTCATCGACTACTGCAACTTACTACGCCATCTGCAACCTTTTAAACCTCTCAGACGCTTACCCAGCCGCCAGGTGTAAAAGGATTCTTTTTCTTTTTTTCTTCTCCCCTCCCCAACAAATAAAACATTTTTACAGAAATAACATAATAGAAATTAATGCGAAGTCTGTTATTAAACCGTTACCGTATATAAGAGCTGTACTTTACTATCTAGATGTTTTAAAATTATCAGCCGTATGTAAAGAAAGTTCGTATGTTTTACGTAAAGATTCCTTAATGATAAAATTATAATTTTTCTTAAAAATATATTGTACATACTTAAACTTTAACATTTTACTTAAATATGAATGAATATTAAGACGATTATTCGAGTGAGCAACTATATTGGCGCATGCATCTGAAAAAAATATTCAAAAAAGCCATCTTAGTGGCAGGCCGGCTAGGCACCATATCATAAAGTTTACCATAACATAAGTTTTTAATTGTTTTTTGTTTTCAATCAGATGCTGACTTTTTGTTTGTCCATTTTTCTCCGGTCTTTCTAGCTTCAATATGATATCGGTTCTTTTTTTAATCTAGTAAGTCTTTTCTCTGTAACTGTTCTAAGACAATCGTTCTTAACGATTAAACTCCTTTAATTAATAATTAAAACAAAATATCTATATTAGATTTTTATTTGTTGTTTGCTTTTAAATGTATATAGAATTTAATAAGACATTAGCTTTGCGTAAACTACTAGTTACTAAAAGTTACTAGGAAATAAGAAAGTTTCAAAAATATTGAAATTCTAGTAACATGGCTACGGCGAAATTGGTAATAGTAGTGCTCTACCTTTACCTTACCGACCGAGATTTGATGGTAAGTTACCAACAGAATTACCGACAGTAAAAAACCTTTTGCAGAAAGAATTGAATGAGTCGTTTAATTGCTCATTAATTGCTCATTAAAAATTTCTAATTGCTTGCTTTAATAGATAATTATTTCATTAGTTATTATTATTTAAAAATCTTCTCGGTCGGTAAGTCGTATTACCGACGGAGAAGATCTTTAAATAATAATAACTAATGAAATAATTAATTTCTAAGGTGAGCAATTATACGAGATAAATGAGCAATTAATGAGCAATTAAAAGACTCATTCAATTCTTTCTGCAATAGGTTTTTTTACTGTCGGTAATTCTGTTGGTAACTTACCATCAATCTCGGTCGGTAAATCGTATTACCGACGGAGAAGATTTTTAAATAATAATAACTAATGAAATAATTAATTTCTAAGGTGAGCAATTAAACGAGATAAATGAGCAATTAATGAGCAATTAAAACACTTATTCAATTCTTTCTGCAAAAGTTTTTTTACTGTCGGTAATTCTGTTGGTAACTTACCATCAAATCTCGGTCGGTAAGGTAAAGGTAGAGCACTACTATTACCAATTTYGCCGTAGCCATGTTACTAGAATTTCAATATTTTTGAAACTTTCTTATTTCCTAGTAACTTTTAGTAACTAGTAGTTTACGCAAAGCTAATGTCTTATTAAATTCTATATACATTTAAAAGCAAACAACAAATAAAAATCTAATATAGATATTTTGTTTTAATTATTAATTAAAGGAGTTTAATCGTTAAGAACGATTGTCTTAGAACAGTTACAGAGAAAAGACTTACTAGATTAAAAAAAGAACCGATATCATATTGAAGCTAGAAAGACCGGAGAAAAATGGACAAACAAAAAGTCAGCATCTGATTGAAAACAAAAAACAATTAAAAACTTATGTTATGGTAAACTTTATGATATGGTGCCTAGCCGGCCTGCCACTAAGATGGCTTTTTTGAATATTTTTTTCAGATGCATGCGCCAATATAGTTGCTCACTCGAATAATCGTCTTAATATTCATTCATATTTAAGTAAAATGTTAAAGTTTAAGTATGTACAATATATTTTTAAGAAAAATTATAATTTTATCATTAAGGAATCTTTACGTAAAACATACGAACTTTCTTTACATACGGCTGATAATTTTAAAACATCTAGATAGTAAAGTACAGCTCTTATATACGGTAACGGTTTAATAACAGACTTCGCATTAATTTCTATTATATTATTTCTGTAAAAATGTTTTATTTGCCATAATCGTTCGCAAAACGATTTACTATATCTGTTTCATTTATAATTGTACGAGCGGAAGCGTCAACGGGAATAAAGTTAAAACATGGTGATCGAGTGTATACCATATTACTGATCTTGGTAGTTAAGGCACGATTACGTCAAACCAATCGACTATGAATCACTATGCGTCGAGCATATCGTATAACTTGTCTTTTCAAGGTTCTGTTCCTTGATCGCTCTCATCTCGCCACCAAACTGTGGTATAGAATTTTTCTATGAAAGTAAAGGAGTTCGTTGGCTAAAAGGGCTAAAATGCAATTGGAGATTAGCTAGACGTTTGTTTGAAAACAAATAAAAAAATCCTACATATATATATGTCGTTACGTGAAATTCAATAATAGCAACAATTAAGAATTTTATTTATGAATAAATAGAATGAATGTAATGAAATAATTTTCATAGATCCATGTTTAGAAGAAGGTAAAATGTATACCTCGGTGGTGGTCATTGGTAACTGGGTCAACTGTAATCCGACGTTTGTATTAAAGTTGGCTAGTGCATTCGCAACGGGTTTACCATACCATATCTCTCTGTTTATGAAACGTTCTCGATGTATACTATTTTCTTTACAATCATCAACGCGTTTATAATAATATTGCAGAAATCTTCTTAAATACGCATTTACTTTTCTTTAATTTTATTGTCCTTCTTTTCGATTATCTAAACATCGTGTAATTATCTTCACGGTGGAGCCGGTGACGAATCAGGATAAATCGTTAATGCTTTATGAACAAATGGAATGTTACGTAGGTGGAGTATAATCTGCATCTAGGATAAAGTTTAATTACGACGATCGTACCATGCATACAATTTTTTTTTTACATGCCAATAATTCAAATCCAGAACTTACGTAGCAAGTATATATCAAAGGAATCGGTTCTCTCTAATCCGATACAATACTAATGCGTAAGGAATACACGTAAGACTGTACATACTACTTTACTTACTTACTTTCCCATGACCATATACGATGGTATTGATACATAACGGAATTTCGCGAGATTATATAAATAATATACTTTTCTATCTTATATAAACTAATATATATATATATATATATATATATATCAGAAAATACCGTCTCTACTATTCCCTCTTATTGGTAGATCATTTTTGTTTCAACTGGCACGACGAGACTGCAATGGAGACGAAAGACAGTAAGCGTAAATGATCTTCCTTCCCTCGTGGTCTCGCATTCATCATTAAAACAGAATGAATTTACTTCCTTCGTATTTAATGTCATACTTTCTGAAATAAAAATGATTCCGTTATATTCCTGGTGACAAGAATAATTTTCAAATATTGCATATGCCATCTTCGCCATTTTTAATCACATTTCATTCTATTCTTGCTTTTTAAAATAGATATTATACCGTCAGCAAAGTATTTAAAACGCGAACTATTCTTCTAAAACGTAATTGATTTCATGAAACATTTATTTTTCTTGAATTCATACCAAACGCGGATTCGATGACGAATCCTTAATCGTAAAAAGAGAACAAAACTATAAACAAAAAAACTATTTATCTTCCTTTCTCTTTCTCTCTTTGCGATCCCCGTTAACGCGTTAGAGAAACCGCAAAGCGTGCGATTTATCTCTCTCTCTCTTTTCTCTTTTCTTTATAGTGTTTGCCGCGTAGGTGGTTCCTGACACACACACACACACACATACATACATACACGTACACTTTTCTACCGAATGATCTTGTTGTAACGTCATGCTTCGTGGAGGGAGAACAAAACCTGTTCCTTCCTCTCCTCCCGTACCTTTTTTTCCTACCACCCCAACCACCCTCTCAACCCCCGCCTAAACTTCTTTCTTTTTCATCATCGAAACGTGCAGGCTGCATGTCTATGCCAACCAAGAAAAATATGCACCGTTCAAAACATCTACGTGCATACATATATATATATATATATATATATATATATATAGCTAAACGAACTAACATATTTATACACATGTAGTATGTAGATTATGGTTGTGTCGTATGCGTTGAGTTTTATCTCGAATATATTTAACGAGTCCTCTTCATGCTCTCCAGATGATATAAGAGATTAATGCCACTGGCACTTTGACCTGAGGATATTCGAAACCAGATGCTACGACGTATTCGAATAATTCATGCATTTTCTAAAAATGATCATCATGAGAATGGTACTGTAAAATGTAGATAGATGTTCAGCCTAATACTACTGATCGAATTCGAATTTGATCAGCACTCTTGATACCATCTATAAAGTATAATAATGTACCCATTTACAATTTGACTTCCTTTTCAGTCTATCCAAAACAATTTATAAACGTCACGGTTACGTGTCGGAAGTATCACTTGCGTCACCGACAAATTCGTGTCCGACATTAGGAAGGGACGGGATATCTAACTCATAAAACGTGCAAAAAGTATTATCAAAAGTATTATCGTTAGAAAAAAAGAAATGTTTTATACTCTGTAGTGTTGCTTCCACCTGGTCAAACAATAACTCCAGACTACTACTACCAACAAACAACAGTTAACCACAGTATACAATGAACTGGAACAAAAACGGAACAAGCCTCGTCATTTTGCAACATGACAACGCTCGGTCACGCGTTGCTTTAGGCACGTGTGAGAATGAGAAACTGTCCCTTATGAGGTGGAGGGGGAGTTTACTCTCCGGATTTGATCTATCATCGGATTACCAGCATTTTTTTAATACCTAACAACACTAGTCGTCCTAGCCGAGGGAAATGTTAAGATTGAAAGAGGTCCGAAAATGCTTAGAAAAAAAATTCCATGCCCAACACAAATCACCGTGGGGTCATCCTCAGTCTACCTGGAACGTCATTAACAAATAATCCCAAATAAACGGTGATAAACTATTAAGAAAAGACAATCCCATGGCTAGCGTTTGTAACAAGATCTTAGAATTACGGGGGAAAGGGGGGAAAAAATAGGAAAGGGGGCTGGGAGAACGGGGCACCGAATGAATGTCCACAACTACTAGCTGCTACTAAACGTTGTTCTCCAACTTTCCCTGAGTGAGTGAGAATAATAACAGGAGGAGAATTGGAAAAAGGTTTGGGTTGTGTGTTCTCGGCGAAGAGGGTGGTGGAATAACGCTTGCGCACTGATACTTTCGATAGAATTCTGTTTAAAGATGGCGTTTGAAACTTGGATACTACGTCAGTCGGTCGTTAGAGTATCAGTAATCGTCCGTCCGTCGCGACGTGAAAGTGTTAGGGACGATGTCGGTCGTCGTCGTGGTTGATGAGAACAGCAGGCAACTACTGGCTGTTCGAACTGGACGTGGAGGACGTACGCGGAGTAGTAGTAGATCGTCGAGGGTACTCGAGGAGGAAGAGGATGCGTCTGTCGCTTAGCCTCGGGACAGGGAGATCGTCGTCGTCGTACAACAAGTAGAAGAACAACGTAACAAGAGTACTGTAAGAGTACGCCTAACCCTTTCGTTCTAGTCTACCTACGTGCTTCCGAACAAGGTGCAAAAGGAATAGTTGAAGGAGAGAAAAAGAGAGAGAAGCTGGCAGTGGTGGAAGAGAAGAAGAAGGAGGAAGAAGAAGAAGAAGAGAAGGAGGAGGAGGAGGAGGAGGAGGAGGAGAAAGAGAGGAGAAGGAGGAGGAGGAAGAAGAGAAGCAAATTGAGGAAGAGGGAAAGAGGAGTCAGCTAGGAAACCGAAAGAGAAACGATCCATGCGCTCAACGCAGCCATGGCTTCGGTTAAGGTGGCCGTCAGGGTTCGACCCTTTAACAAAAGGTGTGTGCATCTATGTGTGGGTGTGTATGTGTGTGTGCATCTGTAGGTATAAATGATTTTGAATTGGTGAAACGTCGAACCCGAAAATACCTTTTATCAACTTCGTTCTATTCGTATTTTTTTCCTTTTCCTTGTTTGTCTTACACACGTTAAGAGTGATAGACTAAACAAGCAAGCAAGCAAGCTAACAAGCAAAACAAAATTCAAGGAAACCCGAGTTTTCTTACGTATCACAAATGTGATCCACCACCTGCAGGATATACTCCTGCACGATTACTTTGAAATCGTGCACTGGTGTTGAATATGTGCGAATGCGTGTCTGTTATAATAGAAGAGAACGAGAAAAGAAAAGGGAAGAGAAGAGTTAGCTGTTATTGCCGCTGTCACGTTATTTTTTGTTGTTGTTTTGTTTTACAGAGAACTGGCCATGAATGCGAAGAACATCGTGCAGATGGACGGCAAGAGAACTCGTATCTTTGGCACCAAGGTATATTCTTCTTCTATCGAAATTATCCGTCTTCCCCTCTTCACCACCCTTCATCCCCAATTCTCAACTCGACCCTAAACTCATTCCAAATGATGCCCCCCACTATCACCCCCTTATAATTATAGTTAGTATGCGTGCGTGTGTTTATATGTATGTGTAAATCGGTAACGGGTCAAACTTGAATACGGGCCGACTTTTCTTTACTCTCTTTCTTTCTTTCTTTTTCTCTCTCTCTCTCTCAAACTCTTTTGCACGATCCAAGAACTGTTATTAATAATCGAGGTTAACGACTCTCGCCTTCCTTTCAAGACGGATCTGTCTCTAACTTCGTTGCAATTTAATGCATTTTCAATCCCAACTACCGAATCTATTATTTGTTATTACAATGGATAAGTATTCGTAAACCTATCGGTTATTAACGTATTCCCATTGGAAATACTTAAAATATTGAATCTTTCTTTTTGCAATGTTGTTAGCCGATTTTAAATTCCAATTCACTAACACTAATATCCCATCAAATATTTTTAAAACTTTAAAAATACATTAAATTTCTTTCGGTGCAAAATTCCCCTCACCCACCATTGCATATGAATCCTTGCAACGGAGGAAGTAAAAAATGATTATTCATGTTTTTACCCGTTGTCTCTTTTTCTTTTTTTTATTGTTATTGACAAATAATAGTCTAACATGCGACCATCAGTTATCTGCGTCTTTCTGTTTTGTTCTTAGTTTGACCACGACAACTCGTTACTCGTAATGTGTTTCATGTTACATCAAATGTATATATACCGCCCATACACGTATTTATTGGTGTACATATCTTTCTCTTTCTATGTTTCTATTTCTTGTGTACATAAAATCTATAAACGTGTGCATGCATGCGTGCATTTATGCACGCGTGCGTGTGTGCACTTACTCGACGTTATTGGAGATCTCTTATCTTGGAATCCAAGTAGTAGGATAGAAATACTCGCCACTAATCGGAGAAAGTGAGAAAATCCATGAACAAAATCGCCTTGCCTACGATCCATAGATTTTTTTTTCAACTCTTCTAATTAATAGAGAGAGAGAGAGAGAACAAAATAAAAAAGAAATTAAATTCGTTTCAAGATTAATCTGCTTGTAATTATTGAAATAATAATGATATCTAAAATTGGCCAAGAAAAGATTTCAAAATAAAATCGTATTCTGAATCGAATTCGAATGGTAAAATTAAATCGTTCGATACTAAGAAAGTATTTTTACGCAGTTATGTTTGTCCGTGCTTGGTCTGTATGTGTGTGTGTGTGTGTGTGTGCATGTAAAAATAAAACAAATTGCAATGCATTATTATTCACGATCGTGAACTTTGACACGAACTCTATCCTATCGATAATAATTATAATAAGAGTAATAATATTGATTAAAATATATCAAGAAACTGTTAAACTTATATTTACAGCAATTGTTGTAACATTTATTTGTTTCGTTGCGATTTAAAAATTTCTCAGACACCGGGTAGCTGCAAGGAAATCGACCGAGAGAAATACAAGGACTTCACGTTTGATCATTCTTATTGGTCCTTTGATCTAACCGACGATAATTATGCCTCCCAAGAAGAGGTGATTATTTCAATTATATACATATCAAACGTCTATCGTTTTCTTTTTTTTTTTTTTTAATTATATCGATCGAAATGAACACCATTAGAATTGTAATCGTGATTTTTGTACGTATTCGTTTGAAATATTTCAAAGTAACTGAGATAATTTCGATCGTAATAAATCAAAATCGATTTAGAAATGAATTGAATATAGAACAGATAACGCAGAAGTGTGTTTTTTAGGTTTTCTATGATCTTGGTACGGACGTTATAGAAAGTGCCTTCGAAGGCTATAATGCCTGCGTATTTGCCTATGGTCAAACAGGATCTGGGAAAACCTTTACTATGATGGGTTCACCGGTAAAATATTACAAATTCAAACAATAATATTAAAAAGCAAGTTATAGAACAATTTAACGATCCTATGTAATCCTATGAAAAAAAAAAAATATTAATTAAACTCTAATATTTTCTTGTACGAAAAGAAATCATATAAGAAAGAAAAAAAATCATATTTATATAAAATATAATTAATAAATAATATAACGAACGATCTTAGGAGTCTCAGGGTTTGATACCAAGAATCTGCAAGACGTTATTCGCGAGGATGGCCGCTGGGAAAGAAAGTGGAGCATCGTACAGGACGGAAGTGTCCTTTCTAGAAATACACAACGAGAGAGTAAAGGACCTATTAAGGATAGATCAAACGCAATCTCATTCTTTGAGAGTACGAGAACATCCGAAACGTGGTCCATATGTTCAAGATTTATCCAGTCATTTGGTCTATGATTATTCGGATATACAGGTTAATAAATCAACGTTGCACATTAAATAAGAAATGACCGAAATCAAGACCGTTAGAGAAATTTGTTTTAAATATATTTTCTAAAGAAGTATATATATATCATATAAATCACTCTAATGATAATTATTTGAATAGGAATGCATGGTGAGAGGTAATACGCACAGGACTACAGCTAGCACAAATATGAACGACGTTAGTAGCAGGAGTCACGCGATATTTACAATAACATTTGTACAAGCCGGCTTTTCCGAAGGCAATATGCCTTCGGAAACTGTTTCCAAGGTGCACCTCGTCGACTTGGCTGGAAGGTAGTCAATCCTTCACAACAATTGCAATCAAATAAAAAAGCAGAACACACAGAATTTTATAATGAAAAAATGCAATCAATTATATGCAATGTTATGTTGTCGAGTTTTCCTGCATGAATGTATTCGTCGTTTGGTTCCTGTTGTTACAATTGAACAAGCTTCAATTTCTTAAGTCGATTATACTTTCTGAATAATATTAGAACAATATGTTATTGTGTGTGTGATAGAAAAGAAAACAGACAGAAAGTATAGAAACGTTCGAAGGTACAGGAAGAACCCTTTAACATTGCAAATAATGATTAACTAACTCCCCTCGTATTTGTAAAACATAGTCTATTAGCATTATTTCTCTCGTTCTCTCTCCCTGTATTTTATTTTCTAGCGAACGTGCTAACGCGACCGGAGCAACGGGACAACGACTGAAGGAGGGTGCACACATTAACAAATCACTGGTGACTTTAGGATCTGTGATATCGGCATTGGCCGAGGTTAGCTCATCGGGAGATTCTTCTTCTTCCAAACGAAACGTTTTCATACCGTATCGCGACAGCGTGCTAACATGGTTGCTCAAAGATTCGCTTGGTGGAAATTCGAAGACGATTATGATAGCAGCTATCAGTCCTGCTGATTGTAATTACGGGGAGACCTTGAGTACTCTCAGGTATGCTAATAGGGCGAAGAATATAATCAACAAGCCTACCATCAACGAGGATCCTAACGTTAAATTAATCAGAGAGTTGAGAGAAGAAATTCAAAAGTTGAAGTCCCTCATTGGGAAAGACATGGCAAGTATAAATGATCTAATTAATTATTTGAACGTGAGTTGATCGTTAAAAGAATGATGAAAGATCAGAATAAGAATATTAAAGAATTCGTAAGTTCGATCACAATCTAGTCAATCTTTGTACAGAGCATAGAAAGACCACCGCAGGTGCTGTTGGCCCAAATCCACGAGAAACAGGAACAAGAAAAGGTGCTGACCGAGGAATGGACTGAAAAGTGGCGAGAAACCCAACAAATTCTTCAAGAACAGAAAGCTCTTGGTCTTCGTAAAAGTGGAGTCGGGGTTGTTCTAGATTCGGAGATGCCACATTTGGTTGGCATCGACGACGATCTTCTTAGCACCGGTGTAACGCTTTATCATCTGAAAGAAGGAAAAACGTTAGTTGGAACCGAGGAGGCTGCTACCACGCAGGTAGCAACATTTCAATTAAACAAAACACACATTTGCAACTCGCCAAAAATACTTCATTCCTCAAACCTTGTCCTTCTGTTAATGCGAAACACTTAACAATTAATCCTCAAAGTATTCTCTTGTCTAATTGAACAGGACATTGTCTTGACCGGTCCTGACGTCGAGCCGGAACATTGTGTAGTGGAATTAGACAATGGTGTAGCAACCCTACACCCTCTTTCCCCGCACTGCTGGATCAACACAGCCCAAGTGGACAAGCCTACTAGATTATCGCAAGGTTGTATCATCCTATTGGGTAGGAACAACATGTTTCGTTACAACGATCCAGCGGAAGCGGCTAAGCTAAGGAAAGAGGGTGGTACAGGGAATGGAAATCTACAGTCAACTGTTGTCAATCTTTCGAGATTGTCATTATTGAGCTGGAGCGTATCGGATCTTCACGCTTCTTCTTCGAGCGACAATCTCTTGAACTCGAGCGAGGATCTTCGTGCCTTGGAAGAACTGGAACAACAAAAGGCAGCTTTGATTAAAGAGAAGGAAGATTTCAAGGTTGGTTGGTACCTTTCATTCGTCCTGGGTTTAACTGTGTTCTTCCTGACAAAGTCCTATCGTATCAATTTGATTATATTTCTGTTTAGAGAGAGCAGGAAGAACGCGAGGAAAGATGGGCAGCTAGGAGAGAAGCCCTGGAAGGTGCCCAGCGTGATTTGGAGAGAGAATGGGGTGCCCAATGGAAGGAATGGGCCGATGCCATTGCTAGTCTCGAATCCAGGCAACGTGAACTACGTACGCGTCGTCAAATCCTGGAACAAGAACGGCGCGACGAAATGACGCAAGTAAGTGACTCCTCGGATGCACCATCAGCGGATTTAAATGTTATATCGGTCAAGTATCACTTCTATCTGGTCCTCATTGCTCTCGGTGTCCTTATTTGCTTGTCTGGCAACATCATCATATACTCGCACGTTTGTCCTTTAAATATGTGATATTATTGCACCTTTTGTTTTATTTTTTCCTTTTCTTAAACTACTGTTAAACTACACTTTTTATTCTTTCTTCTTCTCATTTTTTTTCTATTTATATCTACCTACCTACCTACCTACCTGTCTGTCTGTCTGACTGTCCGTCCGTCCATCTGTCTATCCCTTTTCTTTCTCTTCCTTGTTTTAGACAAGACAAAAATAAGCGTCGAGTATTAAAAGTAGTATTTTGTAAACTACTTAGGTTTTGTTCTAAAGGTGCCTTCAAACTTTGACAATTCTTTAATCTCTAACTGGTATGGTGAACATTTTATTAGATGAATATTATAATGGAGGTTTATGGAACCCCTTAATTTACCAGTCAGGGATTAAACAAGTATAATATAAACTCCTTAATATATGAAAACAGAATATATGAAAAATATATCGCAGGATAACGAAAAGATTAACAACGACTGCCATAATACAAAGAGTTTGTCTCGTTTGTTTTTTAATAGAAAAAGGAACAATATTTTTTGTCAACTATGTTAGAATTCATGTGATTATTTATTAGATTCCTATGCAGGTCTTAGGGTATCGCGATGTGATCATTTAATTAATTATTTTTCTTTTTTGTTTCTGTTTGTTTTATTTTATTTTATTTTATTTTATTTTATTTTATTTTGCCTGTTTCTTGTTTATTTATATTATTATTAATTAGAATTTTTATCCAGACGATTAAATATAGTCGCTGTAGTAGTTCATAATATATAAAAATAGAAAGAAAAAAAGAGAGAGAGAGAGAGAGAGAGAGAGAGAGAGAGAGAGAGAGAGAGAAAGAGAAAGAGAAAGAAAGAAAGAATGAGAGAATGAGAGAGAAAGTGAGATGTGCAGTAGTGTCCTTGAACTGCAAATACGGCTGAATATACTAATTGTAGGCTTCCGGTGCTGAGGAGGGCTATTGTCGGAGAAATGTCATTCCGTGGATTGTTTAAATATCTTAAGTATTTTATAAATATATATATATGCAAATATTAGTTTCATCATTTTAACTAAAAACGAACATCACTTTTTTGTTTGTATATATAGCACTGGCCTTGTTGTTTTATATCAGGGCTTCTCAAATCTTTTTTTTTACTACTTGGTGAACGAAACCACCTGTCCCTTCCTCCCCCCGATCCCCGTTTACTCGAGCAAATATTTTTACAACCCTGGGTATAGACTTTTCGCTATCATAAACTCACAAGCTATACTATACGTGTGCTGTTGCTAAAATTTTCTCGAAAAATTGATACTTTGAGAAGCCTTGTTCTATATATTAATATTTATATTAGATTGTTTCTATGGGTTTGTTATGCGAGAAAGGAAATAATTATTATCATTGTATAACATTATTATTATTACTATTAATGTTATTAATTATAAATTATTATTATTAATATTGCCGATATTATTATTATTATTATTATTAATTATTAGTTATTAGTGACTATTATTATGATTATGATTATTATGATTATGATTATTATTATTATTATTGTTGATTAATAAATTTTTCTCACTGTACCAAAATTGGCTGTCGATCTTCTACGAAACGTTTCTTCTGTTTTTTCTTTTCTTTGTGTGCACTTTTTACATACATATTTTTATATTTCTATATATATATATATTATACACTGACACTGTTGAATTATTTTTCTACATGATTATTATTGTAAAAATTAATGTATAATCCCGATTAACAAACCCAATATTATATTAGTTTTGTTCGTAATTGTTTCTTCTTAATTTATAATTTGGGATCAATCTTTTAAGTGCATCAAATGTTACGCGTTTAAAAAGAAAGGTAATGTAATAATAGCAATTTGACGCATGATTTCTTTTTAATTAGACCGTCATCGTCATCGTCGTCATCATCGTCCTCGTCGTCGTCCTCGTCATCGTCGTCATCTCAAGGTCGCACGATAATTTGTTAGAAAAGTTTTATACACCAATGTCGCTGTTAAAAAATATTTGACAAATATTTGTATGCATTCAATTGATCGACATTGCATCCGGTTGCTGAAAAAGTTTATGCTGGTTTAAAGACAAAAATTTATGTGTGTGTATATATATATCAAATAATATAAATAATCAGCATAAATTTTCTATGCAACTTGATGCCAATATGTCTTATTTGTCCCATAAAAAAGATTCCCCAAAACATTTCTAAACATTGCTAAACGCGCGTATCCAATTAATACAATTAAAAAAATATTTGACAAATATTTTTTCTATGCACCATCAAATCTATCTGCAGCAACGCACAATGCAAATGCACAAATAATAACGTGGGAACCTGAGATCCACTTTTTATCCCATAAAAATTCGTTCATATTCATGTATAAAAAAAAAAAGACAAACAAACAAAAAAGCACATAAACAAAAGATGGTGTGTGGTAGGTAGAATTATTAATATAGTAGTTAATTAATATTAATTAGATTTATATATTACTACTACTACTATTATTGTTATAATATATCCGGTGGCATCTTAAATATGATTTCTCTTGAATTATTTTTTGTTAACGCATAGATGTATTGTGTATCGTATCCAGGTAGAAAGTTTATGTAGGGAAGTCGCCTCTCTACGCACAACATTGCAGTCCAAGCATCGTCAGTTACAAGAATTTTCAAATAGTCACGAACGTTCGCATAAGTTACATCATCGATGGGAAAAGGTAAGATCTATGCTAGACAACAACAACACCAACAACAACAACGACAAAAAAAATATATATATATATATATAATAATAATAATTAAATTAACATCTATTTGCAAAATTACTTGTTGCATGTACTAAAATGAAAGATGCTGTTGTTCTCTTTTATATTTGATGTTTCTATTTCTTGACTACACACTTATACGTAACTCGTGTATATGTATATATTTTTGCTAATAGTTTCATTAACTATGATTATTAACATCTTTTTATTTTTTTTCGATGTTGAACCGAATGCGAGGTCCGTCGAGGTTCGTCGAATAATTTAATTTTATAGAAAATAATTGTTGATTATTTTTCAGACTGACGAGGGTGGTGGTGGAAGCGATGGAAGTTTGCCAGAATCTTGGTCAAGTTTGAACGATGAGAAATGTGTTGATGCTGTCAGAGAACTCGTCAATCATCACGTAAGCATTTTCCTGTTTATTCCCGTTCTAAAATATCCGAATTCTTTTCCCTGAAAAATTATAATTAATGTCAATTCTCGACACACACTGTACGTGTAGAAATTTGTTCAAAATAACTTATCAATGCTTTATTTAAAGATTTTTCATCGAGAATAGTTTCAGTTTGTTCTGGTTTAAGTTAAGTTTTTTAGGATAAAACTTTGAACTCGAATGCATGCCGCATTTAGTATTAAATTGAAAAACATATTAACATTGTATACAATTCCTGATAGAAAAAGGAATTAGCAGTACTGGAAACAGAACTGCAAAGCAAGATGAAATCCTTAAACGAGCATCAGAACAAAGTAGATAAAATGGAAGAGGAATTGATGGAGATAGCTAAAAAACAAAAGCACATTTATAATTTAGAAGTAAGTAAAGATCAACCTAAAAATTGATTATTGTTGTCAATAAAAAAACGATTAACTAATCGATATTTTAGCAGGAAGGTGACGTATCAACGAAGAAAAAAGGGTTCTTAGCTAAAAGATCTCAGGAACAATTGGAAGAAATAGTTCGACGTAAGCAAAGTTTATCGTTAAATTTAAAATGTGCGTTGCCAGCTTCGCCGAGTGAAAAAATGTCGAGCGGAGACGAGGTGGTATCCGGTTGCGAATTGAAATCGTTTCAAGATAGTTGTAATAGAAAATTGCAAATAGCTTCGGCACTTAGTATGCTACCTCAGGATATACCAAGTTCCGTAGACACTGGTGAAACGTTTCACACGGCTGCCGGTGATTCGCCGGAACCTCGATTACTTTTTCAAGAAGTCATAGAACATAATCGTGACAAATTGGAAAGAGAAATGAGCGATAAGGAATTAAAGAAGCAAGAGGAGGATAAGGAAGAACAAGAAGAACTAAGGCAAGAAGAAAAATTACAAGAATTGCTCAACGGTTCAACGAATTTGTATTCAAACGTTAAAGAAGAAGAAGAAGAAGAAAAAGAAGAAGGAGAAGAAGAAGAATGTAGGAAATTAAATAACATTGAAAGAAAGTCTTCCAATGAAAGTACGAGTAATACTGAAATTAATAAAGACGACAATGATACATTGAACACGCGTTCCTCGACAAATTCTACCATGGAGAACGACGAGATCTTGCAAGATTCGTTGGAATCACCGATTCAATCGAATCCTGCAATGAAAAGATTGAACCAAAGAATAGCACGTCAGAGAATGATGGTGATGAGATGTTTGGAATCTAGTACACCATCTAAGGAAGATCTCAATCGTCAGATATCTATCCTCCAAGATTTTCAGAAGCAACAGATCGAGTTGGAGGTATCGTTGTTGGAAGATGAACGTAAGAATCCTAAATCTTTAAGTAACGAGGATGATAGATTATCGACTAATAGCGTTGTTGGGGATGATCGTACACAAATAGATACTAAATCGTATCTAGATTTAACGTCAACCAATAATTCTGCTACACTTTTGACCGTAGCTACTACGAGATCTCATCTATTCAGGAACAATAGGCCTAATAGCAACGAAGAAGATGTTACCTCCGAATCGATGGTCTCCAGAATATCTTCCGGACGTGGTTACTCTACGGTCTATCTAACCGTAAGCATTTTTCTTGTTGATTTTATAATAAATTGTAGACAATCTAAAATATATAATAATATTCATTAATTATGTATATCATCTTAGAGTCAAAATCGTAGCGATCGTTTGAGCAGTCCTTACTCATTAACGATTACGAGGTCTTTACCATCGTTAATAGCAAACGATGGTGATTGTGACAGCGTGATCAATATGATCATTAGCGTACCTTCATACGTGATACGCGGAGCTGGTACTTACAGTCATTACGAATACGAAGTTAGAATTGTAGCACAAGATGACAATTGGACGTTGTTGAGAAGATATAGAACTTTTCGAGAGTTGTATATTTCGATGAGTAAGAAGTACGGTTGTAAGGTATCTATAAAATATTTCTTTTTTTTTAAATACTCTTATATAGCAATTAACAATAAATATTATTTTATATATTTATATATACCTCGTATATGAATTTGTTTTAACAGGTTGCAGGAATACGTTTTCCTCCTCGTATTTTCTTTCCAAGAAACGAAGTGGTCGCACGACAACGTAGAAAACACCTCGAGGAATACCTTAGACGATTAATTCAAGTCTGCTCTAAATTACCTCAGTGCAAACCGTTATATAAATATAATGGTAATTTGAGTAATATAGATAAACAATCCTTATTGGAATTTAGTTACTTTTTCAGACGAGGTACATTCGAGAGCAGCAAATACGGGACTAGTTAGAAAGTTTATGTGTACGATGATGTGTTGGATGGGGGGATACATACATACATACCACATACACACACACACATACATACACACACAATGGTGTCTTGTTTATCTCTATATAATTTCTCTTGTATTTTTTATAACGATATTTATCGCATCGAGAAAAAAACACAAGGCGCATATTAGAATCGAAGGAAATATTTTGTCTGTAAAGTATTTAAAAATATGCAACTAGACCAAAATACAGGGTCGCTTTCGGGCTGCCTTAAATTCTTAAATTTGGTTTTTTACAAATCAGGATTTAAGTTATTTTTTTCTTTTTTTGTTAACAGACTAATGATTCATACGCTTATTGTCTTGTTTTTCTTCTTCTTCTTTTTTAGATCGATCAAATCGCAAGCCTAGAGTTTGTAAAAACTGCAAGCCTAATTACGAGAATAAAATATAATCTTGATAAAAGTTAAAAATCATTTTTAAGAACTATCGGCCAGCCTTGCATATCGACGTTTGCAGGTATGCAAAAACCCAATGCGTGTGTTTGTTATTTAGATATCACTCTCTGTTATCGTTTTTTTAGAAAAGAAAACGATGAGAAAAAGAAAGAAAAAAATTAAATAACGTTTGGATACAACATAAAAAGATAGAATTGAATATTTTACAGTAAACACGTACAATATACTATTAGAGAACGATATATATATTATTATTTATAATAGTCATCGTTATTACTTTTTTTATCTTTCAATAACTCTCTTTCTAAAAAAAAGATTTTGAATCGAAATCACTTCTATCGCATAATATTCATTCGCACACTTTTTTCTAAATTTAATATTGTATTAAACAAATTTAATTTTTATATATATTTTTTTTCCTTGTTTTTATTTTTCTTTCCTGTTTTTTTAGTTTTGATCTTTTTTGTTTTTTCCTTATACGATCACGACTGATAATTATCGACTGAGAATTGTAGAAATAAAATTGTCTCCTCTAACTACGAGCGGATCTAATTACTTTTATATCGTTAAGTTATTTTATTTGTATTATTATTAGCATTATTATCGTGTTAGGAAAGCAAAGAGTATCAGTTGCATTGGAATACAAGGGTGTAGTGTCGCTTCGTTAAGGTTCTTCCAAAAGATCGCTTAGATTATTAAAAAATAAAATAAAATTAAATTAAATTAAATAAAATAAAATATATATATACACAACGTGTCACGACAGAAAAGAATTTGCAACGAAATGATGCTAATTGAGATTAAAGAACTATCTTTACACGACGTTTGACAACGGATCCAACATTTCTATTAATCGTTTGAGTCCCAAGCAGGATGATCATGGCGTTGCTCAGATTTTTTATCGAAGAGTGCAATATTTTTTAGACATCACAATGTGCAATTGGCACTTTTCGATAGGATTTTTCTAAAGATCACTGGAACTCATAAAATTACCATGTTTGTTACCAGTGTCACATATTTGCTGATGCATCGATTTTCATTGAGAGCCCACACTTCGCTAAAATAATCGGCTGCTATTTTTCTGAGACAGAGAAATAATAATTGCATACATATATTCATATACAAAAAAAATAAATAATAATAATATTATTAAAAAGAAAATATTCTTGAGAGGTAAAAATAAATGCCGCAAAATATTTATTAGCTTTTGCAATTAATAAACGTGGCTTTTTTATGTCATCGTAGGAGAATCTCGCAGTTCGTTTCTTTTTTTATTTTATTTTATTAATTCATCACATTTAATGGGAATTGAAAATGATGTACTTAAAAAAAAACAAGGTAAAAACGTATTAAAATTATCTCATACTTTAATACATATATATATATATATATATATATATATATATATATACGTGTATATGTATATTAATCGTCATCTTTGATAAATAATTGTTCCATGGCTGTGTATATAAAAGAAAAGAATAGACTTATGGACTTCAAATCCAGCAAGTTAAAACTTTGACGCAAACCAAATTGGTTAACGAGAGACTAGATATATAAAAAAAAAAAATGTATTCGAATAATGGACGCGCGCGTTATACCTCAAGAAAAAAAGTTTCGTATAAGAGTTCCGACACGTAAATGTTCACTCACACGCATACAAACACGCAGACACATACATATATTATATTTATCGAGTTAAAATTTTTGTATACCTGATCTTTACGATCTGCGTTAAGTTTAAGAAGAGAAGAATAGAAAAAAAAAAAAATAAAAAGAAGTACAATAAATTGTCATATAGCTTGCTCTAATGATCGGGGAAAAAAATTAAAAATAAAAAACAAAAATTATGTTTAAATGTAGAAAGATCTTTGAAACGACCAAAATGTTATATCAAACATTGTACAATAAATAGTAGTTAAAAATTTAAATTAATTGTATATAAAATATCTACTAAAAATGAACTTTATTGCTTTATTCATTTTATTTTATTTCATTTTTTTCTTCCTTTTTTTAAAGTGAAACTTCTTACACGACGCCAAAATCCATTTAACGCTAGTATAGAGGAAGAATACAAGGATAGAGGGAAAATAGAATTAGAATCTAACACATGTGTGTTCTATCTTTTTTAATATACATAGAGTTAAATAAATGTAAGAAGTTTCGCTTCTTTTGTGTGTGTTCCCATTAATAAGTTATTATTAATCACACACGCCTGTTTGTTTATTTTTCATTTTTAACTCTTTGACTGCAAAATAACAGAAACAATACTAAACAATAATGCACCGTTCATTACAAAAAAAAATGTCTCATCAGTTGCCGTTTTTACCAAGAAAAGAACTGCTATATGCTGATAGCCACTGTTCGCAGTCAAAGAGTTAAATACCTAATATCTCTCTCTTTCTCTCTCTCTTTTTTCTTCCTTTCTTTCCAATAAGTAGACTTGATATTATATATTTTTTATAACAAATTCACAATTATTTAAAAATACGTAAATCTTTTTTTTATTACGTTCTCTATTATTCTTTTCTTATTATCTCGCTTAATCTCCTTCTCTTTTTTTTTATATGCATATATATATGTGATGTACAAATGTATGTATATCCCTTATCTTTTTGTACAATTTTGAGAATTTTACACATACTTTAAAAGAATGTGAAAAAGTGGTAAGATCAAACATTAGAAGTAAAAGAATATAAATAAAAAAAATAAGAAAAAAATGTGACACCTCTACTATTATTTATATAATAAATTAAAATAAAAATGAAAAGAAGAGAATTATACTTATCAAGATACAGAATTAAATGAAGACTTGTTCACTTGCTAAACTATCAGCGAATGGTGCAACAATAGCCCTTGTAGCAAAATAGAATGTTAAACCAAATGAAATGGAAATTGGTAATGCAGGCAATGCTTTCTTGAATATTGCCAAAAGCAACAGCGTCAAACAGAGACCCTAAAAAATATTGAACTTATTTAATAATTAAGTTATTAATTAAAAAGAGAGAAAAAATATTTAAACATACTATGAGTATAGCGACGAAACATGCCAAAGTTGTATTCCAATCACCATAACTCGATGCTTTTCCAACTAATACGCTATAAAATATAAAATCACCGAGTCCCAATTTAACGCCTCGTTCTTCTTCAGTAACAGCAACTTGTTGAGCTGGTTGTGCTTCGACAGAACGATTCTGACGTTGTCTAGCTTCATCGGTTAATGCAGTCGAATTTTCAAGTACTTCTTGCGCACGTCTAGCACTACGGTCGCCTGTTATTGAAAAATAATCACGCTATAGAATAATTTTTATGTATGCACCTCGGTTTAATTACCATGCGTTTCTATCCATTCGAGTGTGAAACCACCTTCTTCTGCATCTCCAGATGCAGGATTATTTTGATTATCCGTTCCAGTACGAGTGAAGGAGACTGCTGTTTCTCTGCCCGTCGCATCCCCACTGGCCATCGTTGCTGCCTGCACGTATCCAGCATAAGTCACGGTGTGAACAAACGTATACAAAATTGTGGATGAGTATATGAGTGCAGGGAAAATTGATTCGTTCCTTTCCTGCGCCGTTTCAACCAAAATTCTTAATGGACCCTTAGGTGACAAAACTGCTATCAAATCTAAAATATACGATATATTAATTATTTTTCTTTAAATATATATAGAATTAAGAATATATTCTTTACCCCAAATACTAATTACAGCTAGAACTGCCCATGCAGTCCACTCAGGTAGATATTTAATAAAAACGAGAGCCATCAAAGCGGAAATGAAAATAAGATAAGCTTGTTGAAGTTGTAATGGACCTTGCCAATGAATGCATATCATTCCGACCATTCCAAAATTCCATAAACCTATTCCCAATGTGAATAGATCCATCGGAATATTATATGCTTTCAAAACTTGCCTATAAAATCAATGAATATTATGAAGTAATTATATTTGCGATGATAAATATATTGTTTCTGGAATCGATACTCACTCGCAATAAAGCACAGAGAACATGGATAGCAATAATAAAGAGCTTATAATCAACCATACGTGTATAGCCTTGTAAAATTTATACTTATACAAAATAATAAGTATCACGGTCATGCAGACTATGATACTTATGAGTATTAAAGAATTTGCGAACGCCTGCCAAGCTTTTGTACTTGTATCTGCACTATCTTCATGAAACGGAGTATAAACTCTAGAGAAATATTAATTAAATTAAAAACCAATAGACATGATATTAATATGAATAATAATAATTATAAATAATTTTCTATTGCTTACAGGTAAATTCCTTTAGTTGTGTAGAAATTAACCGAACTGATAGTAGCGACTACAACAAGCATACACAGAGAAACAGGAACGAATAATTTAATGACGTGTGCTGCTCCATATTTTAGTTCTTCTTCCTCTTCGTCCCTGTAATGTCTTTGTCTTTGTTGATTACTAGAACCCGATGTACTTCTACCAGAACCACTTATGTTTGATGTACCACCTGCTTCTACGTGAACTTCGGGAAGCCCATTTCCTAACTAAAATTATAAATTAATTAATATATAAATTACAATATAAAGTGGATGATCACAAGATTTGAATCCAAAAGCTTTCGATTCCTAAAATAATCTACCACTAAAGTTACAAAGACTTATTATGTCAATTATGTCAT